CTAACAGGCCTCGGCACACCAAGGCACCCTCTCCTCAGCCCTCCAGCTCCTTGGGATCTTGGGCACCACATCTGTGCCCCACTGACGTACGTTCAGGCCCAGTCGGAGATCTGAACTCATGACTGGCCGGTGGCATTTTTTCTGTGTCAAGCACTTCCTTTTCTTAATTCCAAGTTGAAGATCTCATTGAATCCTCATGATAGGTGTTTCTGTTTAACAGGCGAGGAAGCAACCTCAGGGAGGTAGTGGAGTCTGCATGTAAACCTTGGTCTTCAAGGCACTGAACCCCTTGTTGGCATTCAGTTCATTTGTGAATGAATGATACTTAGAAAAACATACAGAAGGACTGCTTCCTGGGTACCCAGAGGCCCCAGGCAGTGCCCCTGCCTAGGAGGGGTATGGACAGGAGGCAGTGACTAGACTGCATGCTAGCGTTCAGAGCTGACTTACCAAGTGACTGGAGAACAGCCCAGACCGTTCCTGCCCTAACTGCTGGCTCCTCGGAAAAGTCGGGACTCTGTTTTGTATAGAAAAACAGAAAGACACATCATGACTTTTCCAGCAGCCTAATATAATTTAGAAAAGGGGTGTAGGTGGGAGTGGTTTTAAACGTGGGTCTTTTCTCTTTGTGGATTCTTTTCTGACGTAGCTGTTTGCCTGTTTAACTCCATCATCAGTTTTAAGATCACGTCTCTCCAGTGTAGTTGGGCAGCATATTTTAGGATTTCTCCAGGATATAAGTTGCAAGAAATAGAATTTTATTATTTGGCATGAGTACAATATTTAAGAATCGGGCTATGTTTAAAGAATTTTAAAAGCTAGTGTTGGGGAACTATAATTAAAAAACAAAATCTCCCACCTCGGAAAACCTGTCCACAGAGGGAGGAGGGGGGAGGGAGGGAACAGTTTTATCCAGAGTGAGCCTTCAGCCGGGTGCTCAGCAGAGGCAGTTGTTAAGGAGATTGCCAAGATGAAGCTCTCATACTTGTTTTTATAGTTAAGTGGCAATAATCCATTAGATCTGTATTTTCAAAGTAAAATTGGTAGTTTTATCATATTTTTGTGACTAGGAGGTAGGTTGAACAATTTGGAGTCAGGTGACATAAGGCCCATTTCCTCCTGGGAAACTGGGGAGTCCGGTGCCCTTGTCCCTGACAGTTAGGTTCCAGAGGGGGCCCTCAGGTCCTTGAGGAAACCTTCCTAGGTTGGAGATTTGGGTTTATATACGCTGAAAGAGAAAAAGAAATTCTGAAGAAGAAAATGGAAGAAGGGGTCTCTTCTTTATTTTCAACAGGGAGAATTAAGCCTCTTTCTTCTAATTTATATCTGCCCTTAAGCCAGCAATCATATGCCTGTTACAGGTAGCACATCCCTATTCCGAAAACCCAGGGCCTTAAATGATCTGAACACCAACATGATAATAGAGTGGAAAATCCCTCCCCGGCCTCACGTGAAGGTTACAGTCAAAACAGTGTAATACAAAAATATTGTATAAAATTCCCTTCAGGTTATGTGTGTAGGTGTATGAAACATAAATGCCCTTCGTGTTTAGACTTGGGTCCCATTTCCAAGGTATCTCCTTGTGTATACACAGGTATTCCAAAAAATAAAATCTAAAATTGGAATCACTTCTGTTTGTAAGCATTTCAGATAATGAATGCTCTTAGTGTTGAAGGCGTGTTGTAGTTGAATAATGTCTTGGTCTCCCATAGTACGGCTGCCTCTCGGAACTCAAAGCACTTAAGACATTTTTAGTGTTCTCCATTAGCTTTCAGGAGTGCTTCGACAGTGTTTTAAATTCAGTGTTCCCATTGTATGTGTTTCCCCTTGTTTACCATGGGACTATGGAAGTTGTGTGCTTGGAGAGTAGGAATGAAATCTGAACATAATAGCTGTAAAGTTAAGAGTATTAGAATCTATGACACCTAATAAAATGGTTGAATTGGAAGGATTGTGTTACCAGTGTTGAAAATTCATACCAGAAGGCGCTGGAGGGGTATTTTTCAGGTGTGTAATTTAAGTCATGGTCATCATTTCCCAAATTAGAAAATGACCTTCATGTTATCAACACAAAATAGAGTCCACTGTACTTGGCTTATTCCCTTTCTGCCGTCTATACAGAATTATCTAGGGGAGTAATTTGGATAACTTAGCAATAATTTTGCATCAGTTGCATAACCAGAACCCCAGTTCTGAACCCGAGATTGCTATCTGTCACCGGGAAGCCAGCATTTCAGAGACAGGTGTTGGTGGGAAGGGGAGCCGTGACGGAACACTGAGAGGAAGAAGGGGACTGTAGGACCCATCAGCCCACTTTAACTTCATGGAAGTCACTTTCTTCCCTGCCCGCTGTCCCTCTGGCCCAAACTAGCCTTACATGCCACTAGGTGAAACTAGTAAAGTCAGGGACCGAGGGCCAGACAACTCCTAACTTTGAGATCTAAAGTGCCCGGGTGAGATGAAAGCTGAGATAAGCCAACAGGCCCAAAACACATGGAAAATGCTGCTGAAGGAGCAGCTGGTGCAAAGGGCACCACATCGTGAGCCTGAGCGATATAAGGACTCTCATGGCCACTGACCATGACCATGAGCCCAGATGGTATAAGATAAGGATTCTCGGGACCTTTGACCATGACCATGAGCCCAGATGGTATAAGATAAGGATTCTCGGGACCATCGACCATGACCATGAGCCCAGATGGTATAAGATAAGGATTCTCGGGACCATTGACTACGACCATGAGCGTAGGTGATATAAAAATAAAGATTCTTGTGACTGTTGACCGCTGCTTTGTAAAAGCTTATGAAAACCCATGTGAGGTAGGAGACGGGGACCTAAGAATATAGTTAGGATATAGGTCCAAAAGGGAGTCACAAAAAAGCTGAGTTTTAAGATGCAGGCCCAACAGCTTGGCAGTCACTGAACTGCTTGCTCATGGGAACAGATCACAGTGGTGACTTGATGATTCACCTAAGCAGATGACCTAAAGCAAAAACAAGAATTAAGGTTTTCATCCTGGTTTCACCACATTCCGTGAAGATGGTAATGATCTTTTATGGCCCAAAGCTGTTAGGTAAAGAGGCTTCTGACCTTTGTATCCATTTCAAAATTAGGAGAAAAATAACCAGACCCATCCAGCACATGACCCCCACGGGGGAAGTGCATGTACACCTCCCATCTAGGAACAGGCATGGACAAAACCCTCTGACCCAGATAAAAGCCCCTCACCGTTCCTCTTCAGCAGCCCAAGCGGGACTTGCTCTCTGCTCCGGAGCTCTGTTCTTCCTTCCCTCTCTTAATAAATTTCACTTGCTTGCCCCAGTTCTTCATGAGTTGCAGGCAAAGACCTGTGTCCCACTGCAGGTGCTGGGCACCCTCTGGGTCCCTGTGTCAGTACCAGGGAAGAGGTGAATCTGAATCAGAAACGATGCAGAGTGCCACGTGTCAGGCAGGCCATGTTGGTGTGTGTTGTCAACCTGAAAAGGAAGGCCGAGGCCAGGGAAGAAAAGCAGCAGAGTTTGGCCAGGGCTAGGCCAACTGCAGAGGTACCATGAACTCCTCGTTGCTCTGGTCAGTTCCGATTAGTGTGTACAGAGGCTGTACAGATTCAGGTGATTTTAAAGGCAAGTGTGTGTGTGTGTATGTATGTGTGTGTGTGTGTGTCTGTGTGTGTGTGTATGGGGAGGGTAGTGAGGAGTCTTGTCCAGCAGTGATTGGCCGAATTCTGTGATGGGCAAGATGGCCTCATGGTTTCCTGTAGTCGCTTTGTGTAGTTTTAACAGTGTGTGGAGATAGTGACTCTGGAAGGTAAAGGAGGGAATGTATTTGGGCAGCAAGGCTGTTCGTAAAAAGTCTGATGAATCTGGGTAACTCTTGGGCTCCTTCAGGTGCACATTCTTAAGAAAGCCACAAGATGTGCCTAAGTCTTATTTCCTTATGACACTGACTTTAGTCTGTTTTGAGATCTATGAGCTTCCTCAGCGTTTGGCCTGGTGATGTGACAGTGATGGCACGAGTTGGCTCCATTTTGGTCTGGTCTTGTGGGGCCTAGGGCAGGACTTAGTTAAAACAGTGGCCTCTTACATTTTATTTAATGGCAGTAGCCTTTCATCTTACTAGGTGGCAGTATAGAACAGAATTGAAAATCAGAGGAAGCATGGAGTAGGCTAGACACAGACTTTGATTTGCTGAGGAAGGAAGATATGCTCATGGAAAGCGTGGTTCTGATGTGCTATGGGGTTTAAGTAGCTTTTTCTTAGTTGCCGAAGGGCATATGTGCTCCCCTGAGAGACAGAGGGAAAGGGAGAAAGCACCCCACTGGAGTGCGGCCCCGCGCAGTGCCCGCACCATGTCTGCATACTGTGGGTGCTTTAGGTACGTGCACACCTGCCCATTGTGTTCTCAGGCTGCCTAGGCCAGGTCTCGAACTGCTGTTGTCCATGTGGGATCTGGCTCCTTAACCACTAGGCCATTAGGCTGACCATGCAGTGTGGGTTTTTTTGGAGAGGTTTTTGCTATAGGGCGCGTGTGCTCGCCAGACAGAGAGACAGAAGACGAGAAATCACCCCCCAGGGGGGATGGCCACACCACAGTTCCTTCTCCTTCATTCTCCTCTTGGGATCTTGGGCATGCACGCACACGCGCCCGGCGTGAGTTTAAGCCACCGGGTCCGGGACTTGAACCGCGGTCGATTACATGGGAGTCCAGCGACATAGCCATTACACCAACTGCTGGTCCCCATGCAGTGTTTTTTAAAGTGAAATTTTACTGGGGGAAATGTAATTTAGTGCCCAGAGTTCTCACTTATATCTATTTGAATGGTCCAAACAATTGTTATGATAATACTAATTTTAAAGTTCAGCTCTTTCAGATACATACTATCTGTCTTCTTGTTTCCCAGTAGATAAATCAAACATTTTACGAGTGATCTCATTCTGATAAGTTGAGTATGAAAATTTTGTCAAGTAACACATTTAAGTTAGTTTTTAAAATGAGTTGCCTCTTCTAAAACACTCTCTCTGATTGCTTTTAGGTTACCTAGGTATGAATTAATACAGACTTGGAAACTGAAAGAACTTAGATTCAGCATTTTGAGGTAAATATGCACATATGAAAGTAGCATGAAGGTTGCCTCATTCTGCTGGTTAACTTCCCAGCAAGACAGTTCCTGTATGAAATGAGAAAGTCTGCCTCTAGGGAGGGGGCTGGGAGGAGATAAGTGGCAGGAGACCACTGCTAGCCCGTTCTTCCGCACTTGGGTGGTCAGGGCATTGAAGAAAGGCTAGTCCAGCCAGCTTCGCCAGGGATCACTGCTGTCTCCAGGCAGCTTTTCCTACCGACGCTGTAGGCTTTCGTTTTCGGTGTCTAATCCCTGTGAGGATAGCCGCCCCAAATTTAAGCTTCTCCCCCACTTTCCCATTGTTACTATGTTCTTAACTTCCTTTACCCCTGAATTCTGGGGAAGAGGCCACAGTGTGGGTATCATGGTTCTTTGAGTTCGTGTTTTGAATTTCATTTTGGGGAGCTGAAATTGCTGATGAATTTCATAGATGTATTAGAAACTTACCTCCAGGTTTGAATGTCTCAGGCAGTTCCCTGTCTGGCCATCTTTCTCTGTGTATGTGGGTTGGAAACAGCACAGAATCATTTTCCTGTCATCTCGGCAGCACTGTCTTCACCTTGATTGCCTTGCGTTCATCCTGAAGCGTTTTCCTGGACTTTCCCCTGCAGTCTCATCACCCCCAGCTCTCTGGGGATTAAGCACTCCATTGTTAATAGCCCATTTTCTTGTTCTTTGTTTTAGGGTTAGACTTGGTATCCTGAAATAACCCAAATGTCTTTTGTTTAAAATTTAATGCAAAATAATAGCCTTTTATTCAGCTGCTCATATCAACAGAGCTCTCTTGTAGCTGTGTTTATGTTCAGTTGACAGAAATCTAAAGCTTGGGTGTTTTTGCATTTGTTTTTAGAGCAGAAGCATGGGTGTGTGATTTTCCAATAATCTGCCATCACAGTGTCAAAATGCAGTTCAGACAACAGCGACACAGATCTCAAGCATTAAAATGGTAAATCCGTGATTTATCATCTGCAGAAAGAAGAGAGTTTATTCTTGTGATTTACTAAATTATTTCTAAGTGAGTAATATATGGAAGCTGTGAAACAACCTTACCAATTTCATGAGTGTTAATTGTTTGACCAGAAATTTAATATCTGTAGTTGAAAAAACACATGAAGTTATTCTTTTGGCTCTGCCAGAGCAGTTAACGATAGTTCATCTATGAAACTATAGAACTTTTACTACCAGCAGGGATTCAGAACTTTGCATTAAGGCCAAGTTACAAAAAAAAAAAAAAAAAAAACCCTGTTTAAACATGCCAAAGAAAGTAAAAATTGGCAAAATTGTAGGATATTTCTGTTTTCACATTATTAGATTACCTATTGAATTTTAAAATCCTGGATTTGCTTTCCCTAAATAGAAAGTGCATTACTGGGGTCAGCCACTGCCTATGAAATGAATGAAAATTAGTTTAAGTATTATGACTAGATGGAAAATGTAATTGGGAAGGTTAAATGGCTGCCCTTCGTTTCCTTGTAAATCCTCCCTCCTGAACCCACCCTCAGGCTGGAGTTGGGTAGATATGTGTTTCTGAACCAAATAGAAATGTGTCATGCACCGTCCCTGATTCTGTTGGTATGTTATTGCGTGGACATTCCGTTTACCACGTAGGAGACATATGTGTGGAACATGGTAACAGGAAATTGAGGAGATGCAAAGGATGAGACGCATGTCTCAGAGCCTGTGTTCTAGTAAGAGGAAGTGTGCCGTGGATATGTGTCTGTGGGTGTACCTAACGTGATGTAAGTTATAGTGGGTACAGAGGAACTGCTTGAAGGTTTGTATGCCGCTCAGGTGGACCTTCCTGTCATTCTCCAAGTGTGTCCTGTCCTATGCACCCTGCCCGTGGCTCCGGATGGTGAGTGACACCAGCGAGTGTTACGACGTGCGGCCGCTCTCCTCAGAGTAATCCTCATCTAGTTGGCCATGTTGAAGTGAGAGTAGAGATTTTAAATTGTCGGATTAGGAATCCTTTTAAATGACCAAAGTACACTTTATTTTATGGGTACTAGACCATAGTCCTAGCCTATATAAGTATACCAGTTTAGTTTAATTGTGTTGAGTGTACAGAATTAACATTTAGGATTAAACACTTTTAGGTGGTTAATTAGGGAGTATGCATTCATTCAGTAACCAAGATTACTCTTTGGTTGTGGAAGTTGCTGGTGAATGGTGGCGAGGCAGACACAGGATGCCTTTCATTTTTTTTTTTTAAAGGTTTTTGCCATAGGACTCTGGTGCTTGCCAGAGAGGAAGAGTGAGAAATCACCCCCCGCCCCGGGAGGGGTGGCCATGCCACAGTCTCTTCTTCATTCTCCTGGGATTTGGGGCATGCATGTACATGTGCTCAGCATGATTTTCAAGCCACCAGGTCCAGGACTTGAACCACACTTGGCCCTGTGGGAGTCCAGCACCTTAACCACCACACCACCTGCTGGCCCCCCAACAAGATGGCATTCTAAGCTGAGTGAAGAACCTGAGCTAAAGGCAGAGATTGCAGAATCAGGCAGTCAGGGTAGGGGACAGGAATGTTCAGAGTATCCCAGAGGGATGTGCTTTGATTCATTTTGAATTTTAATAACAAATTTCTTGCTTGTGAATTTTCTTCTGATAGTTATTTATTTTATTACATGTTGGATGTTTTGGTGAAAGCTGATAGGATGCTTGTCTTTTGACAATTAAGCATTTCATTCCTGTGTTACCTTGGTTGACAATTCCTTTTATAGTGAAATGTTTCTGTTTTCTCTTTATTTAGATCCTAAAAGCTGATATATGGGCAACCTTTCATTACATTGTTGTTTTATGTTTTCTTCACTTTTATTCTCAAATTGATTCTTAGAAACCAACCACCCATGCTTTTTAACAAATTCTGTGCAAATTGTGGGACGGATGGGGAAAGTTACAAGAAATGTCTTATTTTCTCAGAAAAAGAGTTATTTCTGTGTTTCGAGATGCAGGCATCGCCCAGCAGTAGGGGAATTCGCAGCTCCTCCTTCCCCAAGCTCTTCATCTGCTGGTTTATGGGAATAGGATTGTCCCTCTTGGTTGAAGTTGTATTGAGGTGAGCTTGTGGCCTGAGGGACAGGGCAAGGGCTGCTTTTCCAGATAGAATTTGGGTCTGCCTTGTTAGTCTGGGCCAGCTTCCTGCCTGTTTTCCTTTGTGCTCCCCAAGATTTTCTTCCTCTTTTCTTCACTACAGAAGCAACACTGTCCACATTTCCCCAGTGTGGTCTATAAAATGAGCACTTGCTCCTTTGGAAGAGCTGGGCATGTGTGCATGTGTGCCCAAAATCCTGGGGGGAGGACGGAGGAGAAGGGATTTCAGTGTGGCCATCCCCCCGAGGGTGCGATTTCTTATTTTCCTTCTCCCCCTCTGTCTCTGTCTCTGTCTCTGGCGAGTACATGTACTTCATAGCAAAAAAAACTTAAAAGAATTAGAGGATTTACTGATTGCAAAAAGTGAAAACAACAACAAAAAGAAAACTTGCAGAGTTGAATTAAGAGAGAATTTCTGTTTCAAAACCTCCCCATGTGGGTCAGCTTCGCAGAGCAGTGTTTTCCGCTGTGCCACTGTCGGTCCCCCTTGATCTTCAGTCCGCGACGTGTAATAACTCCCCCTCTGTGTCAGGAGCTTCTGCACAGCACTCATCCTGGCTCCTGGAGTGTGAGCGGTGCTAGACCTGACCGTTCTGCAGCAGCGCTTTCAGCTCTCTCGTGCACCGGCTGCAGGACCTCGTCGTTACCTCTGTTTCTGGTCTGTTGGGTTTCTTTGGTCTTTCCCTTTGCCTTTGATTCACTTCCTTTCTGTTCTCTCCTCTTTCTACCTAGACGTTTTCACTGGGTGGGATGCAGTGGTTTGGAGTATCATTTGGCGTGCTTTTGTTTGTGACTCACAGGAAAACCAACTCCAGCCAGCTTGGCCAGTGGGCGAGTAGGGCCAGTGCAGGGTTAGGCTTCAAGGCTGGTTGATCTGCTAACCCCGTGGTGCCATCAAGGACCCAGTATCTTTATTTTTGCCATCTGCAGTGCTAGTTTCACCCTAAAGCTGGGTCTTTTCTTGGGTGTAGGGTAATTTCAGCAGCACATGAGGCTGATGATTTCCTGAATTATATTCCAAGGGAAAGGGAAAATTTCCTCTCTTCACCTGTAAGTGAAAGCCCTAGACTTTCTGCCACTGGGGTAGTGTGAACCATTTCCTCTGCTTGGGGCAGTCATGGGCCATTGGCCTAGATGGAAGTGCCTAGTAGGTAGCCGAGAATAAGAAGCCGGCTCCTTGATGAGTGGACTGTGCTGCTGTTTGACCGAGACCAAGCAGAGCGTGGCATGTTATCCAGAAAGAAGTGGCGAGCAGGTGTTTGAGAAACAGCTAGAGTCAACTGTAATTGTGCCTTCCAGTACATAATGGGATGAAGTACTTATTAAGACAGAAAATGAAGAGAAAGGTTTATGGTACAAGAATAAGAATAGGGCAGACAGGCCCCCTGCGCAGCACTGGAGCCCTGTGGGGAGGCCCTGGTTTGATCCGGGTCGACCTGAATGCGGGGTTTGTCCCCAGAGGTCTGTAATCCCAGCTGACTAGAAGGCTGGAGGCAGGAATCAGTGCGACAAGACCTGTGGAGGGCCCGTCTCTTTCTTTCTTTGTCATGAAAGAAACATTTTTAAAAACATTTAAAGTATGTGCTTTATTAGTTGCACACAAACACATGCACACACCTTCTCTCTGTATATCCACATGTAGCTTCTTTTTCTGAACCATTCTGAGAGTAAGCTGCATACATCCTGCCCTTTGCTCCTAAGCACTTCAGTCTGTATTTCCTAAGAATAAAGATACTCTCTTGCATAGACTCGGTGTAGTTATCAGTGTCAGGGAATTTTAACGTTGCTGTTATCTACAATTTTTAAAAAGGACTCAAAAATGACCTTATGAATGGACCAGGTATTTCTAAGAAATGCTTGAACTGGGGCCAGCAGATGGTGTAGCAGTTATGTCACTGGACTCCCACATGGCTGACCGCGTTTGAGTCCTGGATCCAGTGGCTTAATAATAAATTAAGTTAAATAAAATAATTCTTAAAAAACAAAAAATCATGCCAGGCACCTGTGACCAAGATCCAGGAGGAGAATGGAGGAGAAGGAATTGCCGTGTGGCCACCCCCCACGCCAGGATGATTTCTCACTTTCCCTTTCACTGTCTTTGTCTCCCTTTCTCTCCTGAGCGCATATGCCCTAAGGCAAAAACCTCTTAAAAAAAAAAAAAAAAGGAAAGAAAGAATGAAATGCTTGATTCCACTGTTGTTGCAACATTGTTCACAATAGCCCAGGTATGGAAAAAACCTAGTGTCCATAGAGAGAGAAAGAAATTGTTACACATGGGGATGTTAGCCCTAAAAAAAAAAAAAGGAAGTCCTGCCCTGTGCCACATGGCTTAACCTGGAGGACATGATGCTAAATGAAATAAGCCGGGCACAAAGACAAATAGGATGTGATCTCACTTACACGTGGCTCTGCGGACGCACAGCCCTCACAAGCAGAGTGCAGTGGTGGCTCCCAGGAGCAGTGGTAAGGGAGCTGGGGAGATGCTGGATAAAGCACGCAAGTCCTCAGGTGTACAGAATGAGTACAGTGGTGCTGTGCTACTCTGCAGGTCTCATGTACAGCGTGAGGTCTGTAGGTAAGAATACCGCACTGTGTGCTTGAATTTGCTGAGAGAGTAGGAAAGGGCGTAAAAAATTTGCCAGAGGATGCATGTGTTTGCTGGAGAGAGAGGAAAAGAGAGAAAGTGAGAAAGCACACCCCCCTTGGGGAATGGTCACACAACAGTCCCTCCTTTTCTCTTCTGTTGGGATTTTTGGTGTACCCAGGCCAGTGTGTTTCTCAAACCACTGAGACTAGGATCCAAATTGTGCAGTCAGCCATATGGGATGCAGCCACCTTAACCACCATGCCTAGACCTTTCTTTGGAGGAGAGGTTTTTGCTATAGGGCTGTGTGCTCACCAGACAGAGAGAGACAGAGAGACAGAAACCGAGAAATCACCCCCCCCCAGGGGGGATGGCCATACTGCAGTCCCTTCTCCTCCGTTCTCCTCTCGGGATCTTGGGCACGCACGCACACGCGCGCAGCGTGAGTTTTAAGCCACTGGGTCCGGGTCTCAAACCACAGTCGACTACATGGGAGGGAATCCAGCGACACAGCCACTACGCTAACTGCTAGTCCCACCATGCCTAGATCTTGAAGTGATATCGCAACACTAAAAATGGTAGCTGTGTGGAGAGATGGATATGGTAATTAGCTTGACTATAGTCATTCCAATTTACTATCTGTGTGTATACGTGTATATATACATGCATATATCAAGTACGTGTATCTGTGCATGTATGTACATACTTATATGTGTATACATGTGTATATGTATGTGTGTACATGTGCATATATGGGTGTGTATGTGTGTATGTGTATGCACATGTATTTGTGGGTATATGTGTGAATGTATATATGTGTATGTGTGTATATACGTACATATGTAAATATGTGTACGTGTGTATGTGTATGCACGCATATTTGTGGGTATATATGTGTGTATGTATATGTGTATGCATGTATATATGTACATGTGTAAATATGTGTATGTGTGTATGTGTATGCACATGTATTTGTGGGTATATATATGTGTATGCATATATGCATATGCGCATATATATGTACATATGTAAATATGTGTACGTGTGTATGTGCATGCACGTGTATTTGTGGGTATATATGTGTGTATGTATATGTGTATGCATGTATATATGTACATGTGTAAATATGTGTACGTGTATGCACGTGTATTTGTGGGTATATGTATGTATGTATATATGCATATGCGTGTATATATGTACATGTATAAATATGTGTGCGTGTGTATGTGTATGCACGTGTATTAGTGAGTATATATGTGCATATGTATATATGCGTATGTGTGTATATATGTACATGTGTAAATATGTGTATGTGTATGCACATGTATTTGTGGGTATATGTGTGTATGTATATATGCGTATGCGCATATATATGTACATGTGTAAATATGTGTACGTGTGTATGTGTATGCATGTGTATTAGTGGGTATATGTGTGTATGTATATGTGTGTATGTGTGTATATATGTACATGTGTAAATATGTGTACGTGTGTATGTGTATGCACGTGTATTAGTGGGCATATATGTGCGTATGTATATATGCGTATGTGTGTACATATGTGTATGTGTGTTAGCAATATGTCATAGTTACTTACTGTTACAGAGTGTCCTTCACGGCATTGCTCTTTTCCAGTACAGGACCCAGTCTGCGATCAGGTATTCTATTTATTCGGTGGTTATGTCTCTTTAAATTTATTTATTTATGTCTTCCATGACCAAGAGAGTGCATGTGCACCCTACAGGGTGCTGATGCCACCACCCGCCCAGCCGTGGCCAGCCCCTTACGGGGGCATACCTGTGTGTGGCACAGGTGGGGCGGTTTCAGACGTGGACCCAGAGCCTTCCCTATGGGTCACCCTGCAGAGCACCGCCTTTTAGCACTGTGCTGTCCTGTAGGCTTCGTCCATCTGGAACATTTTTTATAGTTTTTCTTTGTATTTTATGACATTGGCGTTTTTGAGGACTACAGTCTCTTCCCTCCACTGTTGAAGAAGTAAGGACATTCCTCCCATTTATTTTTTAGGCTAATTTTCTTTAGTTGCACGTTCCTGTTACTGATGTTATGTTGGAGAAGTGGTGACAGTCGAGGGAGCAGAGGTTGCTGCTGGTCCCAGATGTGCCTGCTTCTGGAAGTGGGGAGGTGCTGGGTCTTTCTGTCACTGCCCTCCCTCTCCTTCGTTTTACGTTTCCGCCTGCTTACTGGGATCGAGGCTTGTTTCCTGATGGCCTTCTGCCATGTCTTTGCTAGGTCTCTTTAAGCATCTGGGTTGGGTGAAAAGTGAGGGTCAAGCTAAAGGTCTCATAGCTGTAGACAGCGAGCAGCTGACAGTCATGAAAAGTAGAAGGACTGAGACAGCAGCCTTGTGGAAGTGCCTCGGGTCTTCGCCGTGGGCCCTCAGGCCTGTTGCTCTCCAGAGATTGGGTAGAACAGACTTCCTTGTTGGGCCCTTGGCTTCTGTGTTGAGAAGGAAGTTTGACGGCTGAGCCTGCCGGTCCTGAGGGCTGAGGGCTTGGGTGCTGGGTGTGGGGTAAAAGGCATGGCCATTGGGCATTGGTTCGTGGAGAATGAACAGATCATATCTCAGAAAGAACCTAGTTCTGTTTGATCCTGGGAAAAAATGGCTGATATTTTCTCCTAAAGCACTCTGTCACATGGCCTGTCACCTGTGTCAGAGGCGGTCAGGAGATGACTGTTCCCTGCTCCCAGGCGTGCAGTGTGCTCTCCTGCACCTCCGACTTGTGAGAGCACTTGCAGGAGTGGGGCGTGCAGGCCCTGTCACCTGAATACATCTTGGAAATCAGAATTCAGGGCACAGTGGAGCCTCTCCAGTTGAGCCTTGTTGGATTGCACCTAAGCCAGTTGTTGTGCCATGGTTGTCAGGTCAGGAGATTTAGAAGTTTCGGTTGTCACTGGATTCTCCCCCTCCAGCTTCGTAGAGTAATGGCAGTGACACTCCAGAACTGAGTAAGGTAGGAAATCCCATTGTAAGGGGGAGCGGATTCTGATGACAGTCAGGAAAACCGCCCGTGAACTTCCACACAGGATCTGAAGTCTTAGCCTTCTGTTTGCAGGTTAGCAATTTGATTGAGTTTTTAGTTTGTTATTTTATATAAACAAATTGATCTGTTAGAAAGGCTGTATGAAATGGAGAAGAGTGGCACGCTTCGTTACAATTTAGATAGGATATGCATAATTTTAAAGATCCATATTTAAATAGTTGGTGAGCTGTGCAGTTGTGCTCTCGGTCTTTGGATGAAGGGCATTTGAACTGTCCTCTGGCGCAGGCAGTGAGAATTGCCTTCCATATACCATGTCGTTATTTTATCAATAATCACATCAGAGAATTCACAAAGAATGTTTACGGTGTGTTTATGCATATGTGTACATGCTGGGCACCTACTACATTGTGTGTATCTTCTTTTTAAAGTACATTATGGACACTGTCCTAGATCAGAAACTGTAGATGTATACTATAATCTTAATGGAGTCAAAGTACTCTAGTATATGGCTATCATATAAGTTATTTAGCTAATTTCCTATTATTCGATTTTAGAGTTATTTCTGAGTAACGCAGCAGCAAATAGTCAGGTACTTGTGTCTGTGTGCAGTTGTCTGAGCCTTCCTTTTTAGACAGGTTTCTGGGTATAGAATTGCTGGGTCAGATGTAGAATGCTTGACTTTGAAAGCGACTCTCTTAGATCAAGAAAAAGCTAAAACAATTACAGGCAGAGTTTGAATAGGCCCATAGGAATGATATTCTGATGTTTCTCTTGTTTCTGTGCTTTCTTTTGTTTTTAACCCTGCATGGTTGTGTAATGGTATTCTTTTTCCCTTTTGTAGTAAGCTGTGCTAGAACAAAAATGCAATGAAAGAGACACTGGATGAATGAAAAGCCCTGCTTTGCAACCCCTCAGCATGGCAGGCCTGCAGCTCATGACCCCTGCTTCCTCACCAATGGGTCCTTTCTTTGGACTGCCATGGCAACAAGAAGCAATTCATGATAACATTTATACACCAAGAAAATATCAGGTACTAATGAGAACACTAATACTGGAGCATTTTTCACTAAAATGGAATAAGTTAGTTTATAGTCGACATAACTTCTATAAAACTCATTTACCCTTTCAAGCCTCCCTCTTCTGATTAATTTTCTCATTCAAAACACTTTTGTTCTTAATGCTCCTTTTCTTTTCTAACATCTGCTGAGTAATTGATTTGATAGTTTATTTGTGAAGTTCCTTATATTTCCTTTCCGAGCACCTCATTGTTCCTTAATATGCATTTGGATGTGTCTATCCTAAGGAGCTGGGTAGCAATCGAGATGGGTCTGTAAGTGCTCAAACACTAATTGACAGAGCCATGGCTACTGTATTTAGTTATTCATATTCTAGGGAAGTATTCTGTATAGAATAATTCTCAAAGAAATTGTAAAAAACATTTCAACAAATATTTCCACAGCACAGCTGTGTCGAGCAGGTATTTTGTTTCTGATTGTTACTCTTGTATATAGATATAGAACTTATGGGGGGAGTTTGGGTAAATTTATTGGAAGACAATTTTAGAAAATAGTGAAATGTCCTGATCTGAAAGAAATTCCAGTTATCATCCTCAGGTGAGAAGTACGTAATCTTTTTTTCCGCCATATTTCTAGGTTGAACTGCTCGAAGCAGCTCTGGACCACAACACCATCGTCTGTCTAAACACTGGCTCAGGGAAGACATTCATTGCAGTGCTGCTCACGAAAGAGCTGTCCTATCAGATCAGGGGCGACTTCAGCAGAGATGGGAAAAGGACGGTGTTCTTGGTCAACTCTGGTAATACGAGCTCTTTCATCAAACTGTGTGGAAGAGATGGGATAAGATTTTATGTGTTAAATTCTTGGTAGAGAAGAGAGGGACAAATAATGTGCCACTGAAGTCTGCTAGAGAAATAGCATTCGGTTTTATCCCTTAAACTTTTTACTGCTTCTCCTACATGTTTTGGTTCTGTATTTCTTCTGAATGGATCGGTTTTGGAACATTATCTAAGTTGGCACAGTTATTTTTGTTCTTGATGTTTTAGCTTCACAAAATATGCCAGAAGGTACTCAATTATGAAATTGGTAACTTTTTGGTTTATGATTTTGTTATACTAGCTGTTATGTGCTTATTAAAAGTTAGACATTCAGTAAGAGTTCACAGTACTGATATTTACATATCAGTTTAGACTTCTGTAACAATTTGAACAATACAAAATGTGAAGCTAAGTTGATAGGGTTCCGTTAGAACCCTAGTTTTCGATGGCCTCAATATATCTATGTGCTTAAGTCCACATAGACTGTTTACTTCTTGGGGAACTGATCTGGTTTTATTGGACAAAGCAGGAGGCGGATGTGGAGAGGTTGCCATTCCAGCCCAGAAGGCGTAGGAGGGTAGGTATGAGGAAGTCGGCTGTAGGGAGGAGAGGTGGCGTGGGGTTCTCTGCAGCAAGTGACTGAAGGCAAGTCTCATCGGTGCACTTAGGAGAGTAAATTGGCTATTAGAGATATTGGTGGTTACTTATGATATATAATAAACAATAAGAGTTTCCGTAACTGTCTTACTCATCAGTACCCAGAGAGCCAACTAGGTGAGATTTCTCGTACCTACGTTGGTTATTATATTAGTGTTGTGTTTGTCTCAGCAAACCAGGTTGCTCAGCAAGTGTCAGCTGTCAGAACACACTCAGATCTCAAGGTTGGGGAGTACTCAGACCTAGAAGTAAATGCATCTTGGACAAAAGAGAGATGGAACCAAGAGTTTACTAAGCACCAGGTAAGACTTGTAGAGAAGTTTCACTTTCCAAATCCCTTCAAATCCTCGACATGATCTGTACTGTCTGTAGCCTTGGATATCTGAGTTAGGTTGAAACTACTTTCCATTACTTTCTCATCCTGGAAACTAGCCCTTGGGCACTTTGTCTCACTGTAAATCTCATCTAAAACCACATAAATTACGACCTTGTGTTACTCTTACTTTGTAGAAGAGAAATAACTTTTAGTGTGATTTACTTGTTCAAAAAACTCCATTCCCATGACCTGTCTCCAACTTGCAGATAAGCTACTGTCTTGAACGTGGAGGCATTCCTTGGTTGAGATCTCAGGGTCTGTGACAGAGACTCCCCAGCTGACATGTCTCACACAGCCTGCATGTGTTCAGCCCTGTGTGTGGGTGTTGGGGGGTCCTGGTGGCTGAGAGAGATTTCGTGACTAACCTTAACACAGCCTGAAGTCTCCTAGTATGTTCATGTCCACAGAATGATGGTCCGTAAAAAGAACATTTACTCCTTGTGTCTTCTTCCAGAAAACCTTGTCAGTTTAACAGAAAAAAAATAATAACAGTTTGAATTGTTTTGTGATTTGAATAAATTACAAGGTTTCACGAGTTGAATATGCTGTGGCAGCCTAAAAGCTGGTGTAGATTTAGTGGATGAGTCATAAAGATGGGATGTCCCTGACCAAGAATTTTTTTTTTTGTAGTTTCTTATATTTTGCTAATTTTTACTTTTTGGTTCCAATGTATGAAATTCCATTTATTTGAACTTTTGATTAAATTTTGACTAACGAAGTTCTTAACGCTCACCTGCAGTCTGACGGCTCTGTGAGCTGAGTTCATATAAGTATGTCCAGGAAGGCAAACACATTTGTATACTGATGTCGGTTTTATTTTAGGTTCTCATTATGACTTGCTATGTTGCCTTGACTGTTTTGAAAAATGGTTACTTATCACTGTCAGACATTAACCTTTTGGTGTTCGATGAGTGTCATCTTGCAATCCTAGACCACCCCTATCGAGAAATTATGAAGGTAAGTTTTTAGACTTTATTAGTCTTCGTGACTCATAGTCAAATTACCGAGTATATACAGGTCTTTTTAGATATTAAAAGCATTATTTGTTGGCAGTACTGGGAAGTTGGTTCCAATGTATGAATGAATGTGGGGGGAAAACAGTATAGAAAGCAAACATAGATACCTGAGACAGTGTGGGAGGAGAGTGGGATATGGCAGAGGGTAAGAGATAGGGAATCAAGGATGGGGAAAAAAAAGCAAAACATACAAAAAACAAGAAATGGAAAATTATTTGCTGACAATAACATGTTTGTTGATGTGCTTGAGACAATATACAGTGTACTCTGGATGGAAAATCTCATTTTGTATGCTATAAAGATATACAGTGAATGAATGAAAATGAATAAATTTAAATAAAAAATGAATGAATATTAAATTAATGTTTATTTAAACCTGCAATAATATCTTCAGCTTATTTACTTCTATCTTTCATGAACAAGAGAGAATAGAGAGAGATAGTCACTCCCAGCAGGGTCTTCATGCCACGATCCACTCCCAGCTATAGCCAGCCCTGGATCGTGGGCATATGCATGCCCAGGGTCTTCAAGGAGTCTCTGAGCTGCTGGGAGCCTTCCCAGGTGGGTCAGCTTTGCAAAGTTGTGATATCGCTGCCCTGCCATCTGGTCCCCTATAATAATTTTTTTGAGTATTTCTTGAAAGAGAAGTTGGAGGGAAGAGAGCAGGGTCACTCTGGGGTTCTCCCCAGCCTTCCAGCCAGCATCATGGGCGTGCCTGTACACGGTGTGTATAGGTCAAGCTGGGATCTGAACCTGGGGCCTCCCAGTGTCACACAGTGATGTCTTACTGCCTGTGCCACTATGGCTAAGCCTAGTATCAGTTCTTAAACATAATATAAACGACTTCCATTTAATAATCTTTTGTAGCATATCTAAATGTGCCTATTGAAAAACAGATCTCTTAAACAAACTACAGCAATTCCATACGTAATAATATGTTGTCCTTGGTAAGTTGATGATTCTGACTGACCGGTCATTCAGTACTTGTGAGTGATTTTGTATGGGTTGATACAGTGGTGTCTCTTACGGCCTTGCACAATGAAGTCTTTACTGTCAGTATCTTTTATTACGGTAGCTCTGTGAAAATTGTCCTTCATGTCCTCGCATTTTGGGACTAACTGCTTCCATTTTAAATGGGAAATGTGATCCAGAGGAATTGGAAGAAAAGATTCAGAAACTAGAGAAAATTCTTAAGAGTAACGCTGAAACTGCAACAGACCTGGTGGTCTTAGACAGGTACGCACTTCAGATGGACTTGGCTGTCGTGGGGCGGGTCGTGACTGACAGTGAACCTTCGGTACCCTGGGGTGCCTTTCAGATTGTGCCTGCTGAGGTGGACGAATGGCTGTTACAAGGGAGGAGCAAGGGGCCGGCAGGTGGCGTGGAGGTTAAGGGTGCTGGACTCCCTCATGGCTGACCATGGTTCAAGTCCTGGACTTGGCGGCTTGCTTTCTCACTTTCCATCTCTCTCTCACTCTGTTTCTATATGGTCAAATGAAAATAAAATAAATAAAATAAAATAAATAAATCTTAAAGAAATAAAAAAGGGAGGAGCAAGGTAAGAATTCTTTGGAAGTGCCCTTCCCTGCCAGTGGCCAAACCTAACTTCCACAGAGAGTGGCAGGGGAGGTGTTTCTGCCTTGAGAGGTTTGTTGCGTAGTTGTCCACCCTCCTGATGACACTAAGGACTGGGACTGTACATTTGTGCTCTTTTCCGTCAATGTATGTGCTCTAGCGTTCTGACCTGAATGTTTCACATAGTGATGGGAAAGAACATTAATTTGTTTACAGTTCAGCAGTAAACTTTAAAATCTCTAGAAATCCACTGTTTTGAATCTAGGTTGTAGATTTCTTTTTTCTTTCTTTCTTTTTTTTTTTTTTTGGAGAGGTTTTTACTAAGGATGCGTGTGCTCACCAGACAGACAGAGAGAGACATAGAGACAGAAAGTGAGAAATCACCCCCCAGAGGGGATGGTCACACTGCAATCCCTTCTCCTCCATTCTCCTCTCGGGATCTTGGGCACGCACACACACACACGCCCGGCATGAGTATTTTTTTTTTTTTTCCCCCCGGCATGAGTTTTAAGCCACCGAGTCCGGGATGTGAACCGCGGTCGACTACGTGGAAGTCCAGTGACATAGCCATTACGCTAACTGCTGGTTCCCTAGGTTGTAGATTTTTGAGAAAGATGCTATTTTTGTTTTCCAAGTTTGTCTCTTTTTTAAAGAGATTACTGTTTTCAGTTTCATTAAAATACACATATACACATACAACCTTATTGATGTAAATTGGTAGAAGAGAATCCATATGAGTAATAAGAGAATAGGTTTAAAATAAATATATGTCTCAGTTCATGTTGTGGCCAGCAGGTGGCATAATGGTTAAGGTGCTAGACTCGCACGCTTGAGTCCCAGATCCAGTGGCTTGAAACTTACACTGGGGCATGTGCATGCATGCTCAAAATTCCAAGAGGAGAATGGAGAAGGGATTACTGCATGGCCATCCCCCTGGGTGGTTGATTTCTCACTTTTTGTCTCTGTGTGTCTCTTGTAAGTGCAGGCTCCCTATAGTAGGAATCTCTCTCTCAAAAAAAAAGATAATGTTATGGTCTTTTTATACATAGTCTGTAGCAAGACTAACGATGACCAGATAGTGGTTCTGAGGACATTTGTGACAAGCGGAGATGACTGGTACTGGGTTTCCGGAAGGAGTCAGGCATGGGTTCAAATATGGTGAGCCGTTTACGTTCCCTGAACCTGCAACTTGGTTTTTGCAGTGGTTTGAAGGGATTCTCTGATGATCAGATACATTGACATAGGAAAAACATCTTCCTAAATGCCTGGCATTTAGTGGGAGTTTTGGGAGTATTAGAGCCTTTAGGTAGCACTGATAAGTAATCAATGAGATTAAGCATGGCCCAGTACTCCCAGTGTGACTCTTAAGTGTAAATTCTGATTTGGGTTTAAAAAAAAGAAAATTATATTATTTAAGTATGTCTTTATTATATTTCCTTTTTAATTAATCTCTTTGCATGTGCTTCTAGGATATTCTCTGCCATTTCATTTCATTGTAAGGCATGAAATATCCAAGGAATCATGACAGACGTGAATGAAAGTTGGGCAAGGTTTCCTTATGGGAATATGTTTAAAATACATTACAAAGAAAAGTGACATTCGTAAATGTTGAAAATTTCAAAATAGTATGGAAATAGATCAATTTAAGTAAGTTTCTCCTAAGAAGGAATTGTTACTGAGTACCATGAGTGTTTTGAACATCTTTGTTCCTCACTCTGGCTGATACCGAAGGGAACAAAAGGTGGAAGTCTGAACCTACAAAGCAAAGCAAAAAACCAAGGCCACTAAAGAAATCTATTCACAAGTTTTATTGAGTATCAGCTGTAGGCAGTCATTCCTTGAGACTTACTAGGGACAGGCTAAAGTGAGCCCCACTTTAGGAAGGTATGCCAGGTCTGCCCGTGACCCCAAGTAGGTGTGCACACTGACACCACGGCAGTTCTGTTTTGGTTCAGGTATGTACAGGGAGCTCTATGCTGTAGAGAAGCAGGGGGGTTTCGCAGAAAGAGCCTTCAGAGGGAGGCAGTCCTGCGTTTAGTTTCAACAGAATCACCTAGTGGTTGGGACTCTTCATTTTGCAACCCTGCCTGTGTGTGGACCGAGCTAGAGGATGTGAGAAGTGCCCAGCTTGATGCCCGGGAGGTCAGCTCGTACTCTTGTCCCCTTCCGTCCACTCTCCTCTGAAGCACATCTTTAATGATACTTCACTGCTTTAGAGAAAGTATCTTACACTTACTGTGGAGACATTCAGTAACACTGAAAAGTAATAATGAAAAGAAACACCTAAAATCCCACCCAACTGCTAACACTTGGGCATATTTTCCTAGTATCTATTGTTTTTTTTTTATTGTTTTTAGGGAAAAAAATAAAGTTTTGTTTTCACTATTGTGATACTGACAATTTTCATTTCTGATTTTAAAGATATACTTCTCAGCCATGTGAGATTGTGGTAGATTGTGGACCATTCACTGACAGAAGTGGGCTTTATGAAAGACTGCTGATGGAATTAGAGGAAGCACTTAACTTTATCAATGACTGTAATATATCTATACATTCAAAAGAAAGAGATTCTACTTTAATTTCTAAACAGGTGAGCACGTACAAAGTAAGTAAATAAGTATAATAAAAAGCTTCTGCTTTTATTTTTTTAGAGCTTATTTATTCCTCCCATGAGAGAGACAGGGGGATAGAGAGAGACAGAGATAGGCATCTCTAACAGGGTCATTGGGCCATGGTCTTTCCCAGTCTCAGCCAGCCTAGATCAGGCATTTGCCTCTCATCATTCAGAGAGAGACCTCAGGACAAGAACCCGGGACCTTCCCATGCTGGCCTGGAATGGGAGAGTGCTGTGTTACCACTTCTGATTATTTTTAATATTGAAAATGACACTATGCTTCTAATGAGGCTATTTTCTTTACATTTCAGTTTAAAGTTTTATCTTTATACTTCCTTGGACATTTTTCAATTAACATATCATGTTAGATCGAGTGTACGGTCCAATGGCAGATATTCATATTAAGTGCAGCTTCCCTGATTGGAGGCGATGAGTTAAGATTTGCGACATGGATATTTAAGTATAACAAGTGAGCCCAGTGTTGTGTTTGTAGTCAGATGAATTAGTTTCTGCTCAAACCCTGAGACTAAGTCGAAATCTCTGGCTGCCCTTTTTGTGTGGGTAACTGGACATGAGCCTGTGGTCCCTGAGAGGCACGGTTTGAGGAGAGAGCCCAGAAGACAGTTGTAGGGTGCCCAGGGCTGCCATAAGTTTTGAAAAGCCCCAAGTCTTGAGCTTTGACAAGCTCTCTGGTGATCCTGAGTAAGAAAAACTTAAGAACCATTGCCCCAAGGTTCACAGCGATTCGTGAACATTAACTGTGTTCACAGTGGGTCCTAGTATTTCTCCTGATGGTGTTCTGGAGCAGCAATGCACAGACTGTCCTTAGCCTTGGAATTCTCACTAAGTCACGTTCACCAGCATGTCTTCTGCCTGTCTGTAGAGCTGGTGGTCCCTCATCATAGTCAGGCTGTGGGTTTACATTTGGCCCCGAGCTGGAGTGGTACGACGTGGCACTGTGGGCAGGCTCCAAGGTCAGATTTGGATTAGGTGAGATTTTCAAGTTGAGGAGTGCTGACCTTGTGGTGGGGTTTCCATTGAAATGATTACAGGACAGTTGGACAACAGTTTGGGATTAGTCTAACCACTGTAGCCAGAGGGCTGCTGTCTGGGCCAAGATGAGTCCACAGGTCCTGGTTTTTCTCTTTGTAATAAAACCAGGGGATGTTGTACATAGATAAAGTTCAAGGGAAATTGTTTGCCCTTCCTTGACACCTAAAGTGAAAGTGATCTGCTGTGTAATTCTTTGCATAATTGGCAGGAAGTAAGTGACTCAGTTGCAGTTCTAGGTAATCATAGATGTAACACGAGGCTTTATTAGCTTTATAAAATTGCGTCTTTTAATTTCTATGTGATTACTTTTGCTGGGGAAAAAGATGGTTTGTTCTATCTGTCTATATGGCATATGGAGTAGTAGAGTTTGAGAGGACCATTGGCCCTTCTCTCCAATGCAAGGAATTAACCTCAGTGTTTGTGTCGGTGGAATAGATTTATTTTGAAGGAGTGGCTTGAGCACAACCTAAATTTTGGTTAGACTTTGATGGGGCCATGCAGACAACACAAGCTGGTAAAGAGGCTGTCTCCCATGGCCTGGGCTGGGAAGAAACGGCAAGACAAAGCCAGCGGTTTACTACTGAGGCTGGTCCCCGGCAAGACTCCGTGTAAAAATGCTCCATGAATATTGTTTAGCACTTGGCTTTTTTCTCTTTTTTTGTAGATACTGTCAGACTGTCGTGCAGTACTGGTGGTTCTGGGACCCTGGTGTGCAGATAAAGTAGCTGGCATGATGGTGAGAGAACTACAGAAGTATATCAAACACGAACAGGAGGAGCTGCACAGGAAATTTTTATTGTTTACAGACACTTTTCTAAGGAAAATACATGCACTATGTGAAGAGCACTTCTCACCTGCCTCACTTGACCTGAAATTTGTGACTCCAAAAGTAATAAAGCTCCTTGAAATCTTACGCAAATATAAACCGTATGAACGCCAGCAGTTTGAAAGCGTTGAGTGGTATAATAATAGGAATCAGGATAATTATGTGTCTTGGAGTGATTCTGAGGATGATGATGAAGATGAAGAAATTGAAGAAAAAGAGAAGCCAGAGACCAACTTCCCTTCTCCGTTTACCAATATTTTGTGCGGAATTATTTTTGTGGAAAGAAGATATACAGCAGTTGTCTTAAACAGGTGAATGTCTAAAATTAGCATCTTCCTCCGTAAGAGAACAAGGCAGCTCTTTGTTTGTGGAGCGGTCTGCGGTAACGGCTCTGAGAGCTAGTGGAAGGGTTATGTAAGTGTCCACTTGGTGGAGTTCCCATGTAACACCGCAGTGGCACTGACAGGCCATGTTTATAAATACAGTAGCTTTTCCCAGAAGACTCACTTTGACATGACCGATACCTTTTTCTTAAAGGATGCTACTTCGTTCTAATCCATCTGAGAGAGAGAGCAAGTGTAGAGAAATGAAGTGGAATTGAAGTAAAGCAGTCTTTGTTTTGCATTCAGTTGTTGGATTCAGTTTCAAGTATTTACGTGTTAGGCACGGTGTTAAACTTTTTCATTCGGGTAATCTTAAGGTCAATTTATTTGGCTATTGTGGCTAACATTTTTACATTAATTTTTTCCTTAAAAGATAATTGATTCTAGTTTTCAAGGCTGCAGCAGAAAAAGTCTAGAAAACTGGATTTGCAGTTTGGGTTACATATTATAATGCCCTGAGTCAGAAGGGGATAGGAGTGGAAGGGAAGAGGTCTGCGAATTTCGACAAATTGACAGTGCGTTCGAATGGCAGGCTGCGCGCTCCAGCCCTTGCCCACCTCTTTAATAAAAGGTATTTTTCCTGAATTTAGACCCAGCCACGGACACTTCAAATTTGTGCTAAATGGTCACTTAACATATGGTCTTTCTTGTTTGTGGATAGATGCCCTATTATTTTCTGCCCCAAAAGAATCCTTATTTTGTACTTAAGATAGTCTGCTTTTCTACAAGATCTGCTAATTGGCCAAAGTTGATCCCTGAGAGCCTGTTCTGCAAGTAGTGATCTCTGAGGAAAAATTAAGCTTTGTTTCCTGAGGTAATTTGGGATTTTTTTTTTCCCTCCTTAACTGCTTCTGAATGTTTAGGGGTTTTAAAAACTTCTTTTGAGTAATGAGCAATTGGACTGTCATCTGGCAGTTTTCAGTCTGGTAATTTTCATAGTCATTGAGCCTGATCCTTCAGATGAATATGAAGTCAAATAACTTTAGGTACTGAATTACATTTAAATCAGAAATTTAAGGTTGGAAAGGGACTCACTGATCCAACCCACTTACTTTTTATAAAAAAGAGAAAGGGCCTCAGGAGGAAAAATGATTTGCTCTCAGTTAAATGGCTGGTCCTTGGCAGAGATGGTTTTAGAATTCTAATATCGTACCTCCTAGCTTCCAGGTCTCTCTACAGTCATTTCCTGGGTAACACAGAATCCTAAAACCCATGCTTTGCAGTGGGAAGACCGCCCGGGAGGTTTTGACTGACAAGAATGGCTTCTTAAAAAGGGTGAAAGGCATTTGAGGGGTCAGAAAAGTTTTACGCAGGCATGCGCTAGGCTCCGCTGGGCACACCCTACCCTACCCTACCCTCTCCTACCCCACCCTACAGGGAAGGCCTGGGTGCTTACTTTTTGCCTTTCCTCTGTCTTCTCTGCATTTCTATATAGAGATGTGCCTGTTTTCTTTGTGGGAATATTAGTCTGAAGATTTATCCAAAATCATTCGCTTACTTCCTATTGACTTTAAGGATCAGATTAATTGTGATCAACTTTCATAAAATGTGGCTGGAATTTAGTGCTGTGTGATGAATCAAGAGTGGGCTGAGGGTTGACTTTATGGGCAGCTAATTAAATGTACAATAGAGGTCTTGTTCCAGTAAGCTTTTTAATAAGCTTAGAAAAACTTCCTGAAATCCAGATTCTTTCCTTCCATCAATTTAATGGGAGGAAAAACCCTTCTTTAGTGAACAGTTCCACAGGAGTATAAGCTCTTGTAAGGCACATACAGTTTTCTACTCTCCTAATTAAAAAAATAAATCGTAGCTGCTTCTGTGAATAGAGTAGGTATGAGCACAGTCTTATATTTACTGTGTCCTTTCCCCCTTATATTTAGCAGGAGTTCATAAGTTACTTTTTATATATGCTTACAATTTTGTATAACACTACCTGGATTAGGAAGATATTCTTACCGTGTTACAGATGAAGAAACCAAGACTCAGCCGTGACCCTTCCCGAGTTACGCAGAAACCAAGTGGCAGTCTGCAAGTCTGGTGTTCTTTTCATCGTGTGGTTTGCCAAGCTGGTGCAATACTGACCCTGGCCAGACCTTGGTTCACATCCTGTCTCTGTCCACCCTGCCTCTTTATCTCTTAGAAGTTCTTATTTTGCAATAACTTCAGATTTACAGAGAAGTTGTGAAGATTGCACAGACAGCCCAAATACCCCTCCCCTCCATTGTTAATATGTCCTCTCCGCCTCTTTCACAACGAGGAAACCCAGGCCTGCTGTGTCCCTGCTCACTAGTCTCTGGCTTTGTTTGGACTTGGCCAGTTTTCCCATCCCCATTGCACCTAGTTGTCCTGTCTCCCCAGTCTCCTCTGGTCTGTGGCAGTTTGCCTTTCCTGGCTTTTGATGGCCTGAATGCTCTTGAGGCAGCTCGTCAGGTATTTGGAGAACGTCCCTCTTTCTGGTTTGCTGGCTGCTCTTCTCAGGACTAGACTCGAGTTAGAGGATTTGGAAGAATACTGCGGAGATCATACCATATCAAGGGCTTACAGTTACCAACGTGAAACATCCCGGGTGAGGCTGAACTTTGTCTCTGGGTTGTGGTAGTGTTTGCTGCTTTCTCCACTGGAAAGTTAGTTTTCCCTCTCCTTAGTCTATTTTTGGAAGCAAGTCTCCAAGTCTTGCCCGTCCTGGAGAGAGATATATCTATATATAAAAATATTACTTGGAATTCTTTGATAAGGAAAACTTGTCTCTTTCTTAACTTATCAACCCATCTATTTATAATGATGGAATCATGTATTTTCATCACTATAAGCTGAGGTTAATTTTGTGCTTTGAGTTATAATCTAATACTGTGTTTATTTCGTCGTTCAGCTCATTCCAACTTTGGCCACTGGGAGCTGTTCAGGCTCAGCCCCCGGTCTCTCCGACCTGCCCTCATCTTTTTGTGTTGGGAGACTGTCCTCCTCCTTGGCATTACACGATGCCGCAGTCCTCTGTTCTTCCCTGGTCCAGCGCTGGAATCAGCCATCTCCCCGAAGAGCCCTGGCTCCTTTTCTATCCACTTTTTGGATATATATTTTTTATGAAAGATTTTTTTTTTGAGTTTTTTTGCCATAGGGCGTGTGCGCTCGCCAGACAGACAGAGAGAGACAGAGAGAGAGAAAGCAAGGAATCACCCCCTAGGGGGGATGGCCACGCCGCAATCCCTTCTCCTCCATTCTCCTCGGGATCTTAGGCTCACACACACACGTGCCCGGCGTGAGTTTTAAGCCACCGGGTCTGGGATGCAAACCGCGATCAACTACATGGGAGTCCAGCGACATAGCCATTACGCTAACTGCTGGCCCTGAAAGATTTTTTTTTCTTTAACTTTTTGAGCTTCACTTGGCATCCGTAAAGGAGCACTGGGCCCGCTGTCTCTTGTTGGCTTGTTAATAAGAGAGAGCGTGTGTAGAAATGGCTGCGTCACCAGGCACACAGGCGGTGCTAATTCCTAGGCTCTGCACACCTTTGGGGTTGCATATCATACTAGAACTATCAGTGGTGGGTGTTTTGGTGAGACCATAGAGGAATTATGCTGATCTTCTCACATAGACAAAATAAAAGGAGTAGGGGACACAATTAAAGTTATCGTAGATAATGTACGTCAGGTTCACACACACACGTGCCCGGCGTGAGTTTTAAGCCACCGGGTCTGGGATGCAAACCGCGATCAACTACATGGGAGTCCAGCGACATAGCCATTACGCTAACTGCTGGCCCTGAAAGATTTTTTTTTCTTTAACTTTTTGAGCTTCACTTGGCATCCGTAAAGGAGCACTGGGCCCGCTGTCTCTTGTTGGCTTGTTAATAAGAGAGAGCGTGTGTAGAAATGGCTGCGTCACCAGGCACACAGGCGGTGCTAATTCCTAGGCTCTGCACACCTTTGGGGTTGCATATCATACTAGAACTATCAGTGGTGGGTGTTTTGGTGAGACCATAGAGGAATTATGCTGATCTTCTCACATAGACAAAATAAAAGGAGTAGGGGACACAATTAAAGTTATCGTAGATAATGTACGTCAGGTACCTGCTAGAAATTCAGATGAGGTGCCTATCTTCTTATGGGTTTCTGCATAAATTAGCTCATTTTGGCAAACAGTGGTTTTTAGTAATACACCTGTTAGTTTCCTGAAGACACCATACATATTTCCTGTTTTGGTCATGCCATTTTCAGCCTACCTGGAGAGGCAGTGCACAGACACACACACAGGAAATACGGTCTGTGGACTGCCAGGCCTCCTTCTGCCATGACTGTGTACGGATGGAGGGCAAGGTAGAAACACCTTTAGTGGTTTCACAGTGATTATATGTCTGTTGAATATAATAAGATTGATACTTGAATTTTTTTTTTTTTTTTTTTTTTTAATTTTGCTATAGGGCACATGTGCTTGCTGGAAAGACAGAGGGATAGAGAGGTGGGGAGTCAGGAAGCACCCTCCAGGCTACGCTGCAGACCCTTCGCTTCCATTTTCCTCTTGGGATGTTGGGCATGCATCCATACATGTCCAGCACGTTTTCCAAGCCTCGGAGTCTGGGACTTAACCGTGCAGTTGGCCATATGGGATCTGACTGCCTCAACCACCAGGCCACAGGCTGGCCAGCTCCTCAGTTTTAAGTTTAATTTTCTTAGTAGTTATTTCTATGGAATTTTACAAAAATCCATCTCTGATGGATCAGTAATAAAAAAAAAAAAAGCCCAGCATCCTGATTCTTCACCACTGAGCGTTTTAGACACAGTAGGGTCTGCCCAGCAGCTTGCTTGTGGGACAGCTTATGTACTCAGTATACAAAGCAGAGGAAACTGACACGGCTTTGTCTTATTCCCTCTGTGCTGCCACGAGATCTCTGAGCTGTCTGTTAGTCACTCGTACACTCCTTGGGGACTGGGGACACTTGTTTCCCCTGAAATCTGTAGTGTTGTCTTGGGCACATGGTTAGGCATCCCTTAAATTCATCCAGCAGAGAAATGCATGTTTCTCTCTGAACATCATCTGAACAGGTGTACAGCACCTAATTATTACATGTGAGAGGCCTTATTTATTAATGTGTGACTTGTCTCTGTTCTCTGCACTTCTGATGTGGGTCTCATCAGGGAGGAAAAACGTACTGTCAGTGCTTCCATTTCTCAGCTAGTTGAAGTCCGCCAGGTTGGTCATTTCGGCAGTGTGGAATATATTCTTTACCTAATTAGGAGTAACTTGAAATGCATTTTTAAAACCTCTGTTACTTTCATATTGATGCTTGTTTATTTAGACAAAAACTTGGAAGTACGTATCATTTCATATTTCAGACTCGGGGGATGCTATTTGTTTGCATGTAACAACACTACTTTGTTACTGACGGCCCAGGTTTATCGTAGTTATTAAACCTTGGGACACAGTGAAGAATTGTTTGGCACTGCAGAACAGACTGTCCAGCTAACCTTGTGCGGCCTGTGCTGCTGACCGGGAGGCAGGGGATATTCTCCATGGCCACTCATGGCTTCTCTCAGCTCTTTGACGTTAGTCTGTTTCATATATTTTAAAAGAGAGTGGTTTGACTTAATAATGCAATTTTCTGTAAGGAATTTATACTATGTAGTATGACTTCAGAGGAGCCATATGGAATCACTTATGTCAGGTGCGGAACCATTTATCCCCGTGTGCGGAGTTTTTGAATGTGGATATTTCTAAAATAGCTGTAATGGCTGCACTAACTGTTAACCTTCTGTGCTCGTGTAATGCAGTCCATCCTGTAGCTCTTTCCACTTCTCAGCTAGAAGGCCAGCTTTAGGTTACTAGTACTCTGCTAATACCAGGGGCCAGGCGGGAAGATGGGGACAGCTCAGGAGTCTCCTCTGGTGAGAGGATGGTGTGGGGACTACTGGCATTGCTTTGCTGAAGTCCAGTCCTCAACCCCCTGTGCAGTACTTCGGTCAGCAGCTTGGGATCCGGTCCGGAAGGTATTTGGAAATGAGATGATGAGCTATTTCTTCCCCAGGAGGTCCACTCTCAGTGATACGGAGTGATGGGGTAACATGAAAAGAAATAGCCATTCTTTTTTTCCACACACAGCTGGAACCTTTTTATTCCATTGAGAGGGGCACAAGGATTTCTTTGGTGTTAGGCTCCCACGTCCTTGTTCTGTCTAAGCATGGCTATAGAAAGAGAGCATGACCGCTGTGGAAGCCGGGCTTCCTTCTAAGAGAAGCGGGCCGAGCACTTTTCATCTGAAGCTCTCTTCTGAAGCCTAGGTGCTGAGGCTCTAAGTTTCCCCCCGGGTAGTTCACATCTGTCCTGGGCCACATTCTTGAGGTCATCATCCTCAGGTCAGAAGTTGGAAGTAATGTGACCGTCTCTGTCACTGTAAGCCAGCCTCGCATTTGTTTTGCTTGTGCTTGGTCCACACAGCTCTGTGGTCATAGTGGCAGCAATTTCCTCCAAGCTAATCGGACAGAAAATACCAGGATTTTTTTGTTAAGTGTGTTGGCAAACAGTGCATGCATTTCCATTTTAAAGGAGACCTTACAAACAAAAGCTCACATTTTTTTTTTCTCTCAGCAGTGCTTAACTTCCAAATATGTATAATTTCTTTAGATTGATAAAGGAAGCTGGCAAACAAGACCCAGAGCTGGCTTATATCAGCAGCAACTTTATAACTGGACACGGCATTGGAAAGAATCAGCCTCGCAATAAACAGATGGAAGCAGAATTCAGAAAGCAGGAAGAGGTAACTTAAATCAAAATAATTGTACAGTAACAATTTTCAGAAAATACACGGGTAAACTTTGCCCAAAGAAACTCCCTTTCTTCATAGCTCTTTGGCATTTTTTTTTTTTAAACACAAAATTCTTAGATATAGACCAGCTGTGTCCTAGGAGATAGCTATATAGTTATTTCTATGCTTAGAATTAGAATAGCTGTCTGGTAAGCTGATTTATGTTTTGTCATCAACCGTTTCATATATCCTTATCAGATTGCTGTCATGCAACTGTATTTCATAGGGAAGTAAGGCGTTTATACCCATAACTCCTTCGAGTTTCATAGGGCTGTAAAGCAACAAACTGAAACCTTTTCCTAGAGAGTGTTCTCTGTTTTTCATGTAATGTCCTACATTGGTAGAATACTTAAAAACAAATAAACAAACAAAAAAAACCTATATTTTGTGTTGCTCTAGCTTAAAATTGTTTGTGCTTTTAGGTTCTTAATGTTGGAGATAGCATTGTGAGGATGCGAAGAATCTAAGATAGTGCTATGGTTTACAAACAAAAACTTCGTATTCAAAGGTTATATTTAACTTCAGATTAGCAGATAATTCCTATTTGAAGGCATTTTCCACATTACAATAAGCTTTTTTTTTTTTTTTTAGAGTTTTTTTGCTATAGGGCGTGTGTGCTCTCCAGAGAGACAGAGAGAGACAGAGAGGCAGAAAGCGAGAAATCACCTCCCAGAGGGGATGGGCACGCTGCAATCCCTTCTCCATTCTCCTCTCGGGATCTTGGGCACGCATGCACACGTGCCCAGCATGAGTTTTAAGCCACTGGGTCCGGGACAGGAACTGTGGTCAACTACGTGGGAGCCCAGCAACATAGCCATTACACTAACTGCTGGTCCCTACAATAAGCTTTTGATAATATCTCAGTTTTGGGGAACCCAGGACTCAATCTGACAGATCTGACTGTCTGAAAAAAGACTTATGTTATTATTTAACTTCTGGAATAGAGAGTGATGTGATTTTTAAATACAGTATGAAAAAAGCATTTATTGTATGTTTTAATCAGTTCCGACTCCTTAAGTAGAAAATGTTCCAAGGTGCCAGAAAATAAGTAATCCCCTGCTAGTAGTTTTAAATTCCAAGTGAATTAGGGATCTTAGTGATGGAGTTTTGGAGGGATGTTGTCAGTCTCACAGATGTCAGATACCATGTGGGAGGTCCGAATATCAGAGGAACACTCCACAGTTGGATTCATTTGGTCACTTAGTTGGTTAGACCCACGCGTGGTCATTGGAGAAGCCATCTCCTTGAATCTGAAAGCTTCTGTGCTTCATGACCTTGGTGCTTCTACTGGGTAGAAAGGCACTTCGATCGTCATGTCTTCCGTTGAAGACTCGTGCCATCATATTAGTTTCTTTGTCCGGGTGCCCATGCACCCCTAGTTCTCTGTGATACTGTCATCTTGTTAAGCACACGCAGTGTGGGTTGGAAATGGCAGTCACCGTTTGTTCTTACTATATTGTTTTCTTCAGAATATTTCTTAGAATTGCTTTCCTTGGTGGACTTTTTTTCAGGTACTTAGGAAATTTCGAGCACACGAGACCAACCTGCTTATTGCAACAAGTATTGTAGAAGAGGGTGTTGATATACCAAAATGCAACTTGGTGGTTCGTTTTGATTTGCCCACAGAGTATCGATCCTATGTTCAGTCTAAAGGAAGAGCGAGGGCACCGATCTCTAATTATATAATGTTAGCAGATACAGACAAAATAAAAAGCTTCGAAGAAGACCTTAAAACCTACAAAGCTATTGAAAAGGTAAGATGGCAAAATTAAGCTTGTGTCTCTGTTATTCTTTTGTGCATAGAAGTAGTTCTATCTACAGAGAATAGTCTCAATGGGGATGTGCACTGTGGACATCTTAAGGAAATTGAAATGATTACAAAGGCCCAGGAGTAGTTTATCGAGTGAGAGTTCACAGTCAGACAGCAGTGGAAGTGGCCACGTGGACCCCAGGGAAGGCTGTCTGAGAAAGGGTACTGCACGTGTGTGGATAGTGCCGTGATTGCTAGTGGCCTGAGTTGTGCGGTGACTGGAGAGTGGCGACATGGAAGTTAGACGGTGAAAGACTGACAGTCACGTGTGTGTGTGTGTGTGTGTGTGTGTGTGTGTGTCTGTGCTGGGCAGTGTAGACCTTGGACTGTATGGCAACCGTCTCCCCATGGCTGAGAGTCCCTGGGGGACATTTTCTACAAGAAGTGACTTTGGAATTATGGAGTACGTTAGGGGAGAGGTGTTTCCTGTCGAGAGCTTTTTCTGTGGGTGCAGAGGTAGACTGCTAACATGCAGTGAAGAAGATGTTTGTTCTCATTGTGAGTTGTGTTCAAAATGTTCAGATCCTGAGAAATAAGTGTTCCAAGTCCGTGGACACGGGTGAGACTGACACGGATCCAGTCGTGGACGACGATGATGTTTTCCCCCCCTACGTGCTGCGGCCTGATGACGGTGGTCCACGGGTCACGATCAACACAGCCATTGGACACATCAATAGGTATGGTGCAGGTCAGGGCCTGGGGCCCATGAGTAGCGCCACAGTTAAGTCTAATCCTGGGAGTGCTGTGTGCTGTATACATGGTGTACTCACCAGTCCTTTTATTCATGGCTTGCTCTAATATTTGGATGGAAGGAAGAAAATTGTGCTTTTCGATTTTTTAGAAGTTTATTTCTATCATGTCAGAGGTGGGTAGAGACAGACCCAGAGATAGGGACACCTGACAGCGTCATGTTGCTCTGCAGTCCTCACTCTCGCTTGCCAGCCAGCCAGGACCACAGGTGCTCGCATGCATGTGCACCTGGCGTGCACATCGACCTGGGGTCCAAAACCCAGGCCTTCACAGGCAGGCTCTAGACTACACAGCAGCACCATGCAGTCTATGACACTGAAAAGTTGCTTCTTTTGACAAAGCCAAAAACAGTAATATGCCAGAAATAAAATTTTAGTATTCATTGACAAGGCTGACATACAAAGACTTACTTTTTTTTTTTTTTTTTTAAGGTTTTTGCCATAGGTCATGTGCGCTCGCCAGAGAGACAGTGAGACAGTAAGAGGGAAAGTGAGACATCACCCCCTAGGGGGGATGGCCACACCACAAACCGTCCCCCATTCTCCTCTCAGGATTTTGGGCCTGAATGCACACACGCCAGCATGATTTTTAAGCTGCTGGCCTGGTTTTTAAGCTGCTGGGCCTGGGACTCAAACCCTGGTAGAACATGTGGGAATCTGGCACCTTAATACCACGCCACCTGCTGGCCCAAAGGCCTGCTTATTTTAATTAGGTTTAATTTAATTTTGTAATGCTCACTAATTTTTTCCTAAATCCTGAAATTTGTCATTTTACACCACAAATGCAGGGTAATATTGAATTTTCCATTACCAATGAAGTAAAATTATTATAAATTAGTTTGTGTCTTGGGATACAATCTAATTTACTTTTTTCTTGAACTGAGAAAATTTATTTTTTTAAAAAATCTTACCAGAATACCATAATTTATTCATTTATTTTCTTTATTTTAAATTTCTGAAATTCACACATAATAATTGTATGTTTATGGGGTGCAGGCAAATGTGTTGCCACATGCCTGACAGCGTATAACGATCGAATTAGAGTGAGTAGCATATCCATTGTCACAGTTATTTCTGTGTTGTGAGAACAGCTAAAATCTTTTATTGTAGGTCCAGCTGTGGTGGCACAGGTGGTGGGTGCTGTCGTGTGATGCTGGAGCCATATGGGAGGCCCTGGTTTGGAGTAATCCTGGCCTGCTGGAGGGCTGAGTGGGCGTCATGGCATGGCGAGACTCTGCGTGTGTGCGTGTGTGTGTGTGTGTGCTGTGTGTGTTTCTCTCTCTCTCTCTGAAAAAAATGGATAAATGAACTTTAAAAAATCTTGTAGCTATTTTTAAATACACTAACATTTCTAAATGCACGATAGTATTTCTAAGAACTCAGAAAAGCAGTTATATACGGAGTTTATTTATTAGGATAAACTCCTTCGAAAAGGCAAAATAAAGGAACAAGTGTAAGATTTCCTTTTTTACATTTTTTCCTTTGAGATAATTCTGACTTTGACTTATTGTGGGAACTCTGTAATGAGCACCTTTCACACACCCTCCATGCCCTTTTCACCCAGAGAGAACCATTCAAGTTAGAGGAGAATGTTCTTGGTAGCTAAAGGTTCTAATCCAGGAGCACGGTTTGTACCCTATGGTCACGTCTCTCTGGCCTCCTTCATCTGGAACATTCTTTAGTCTTTCCTTGGCTTTAATGACCTTGAAGCTTTGGAAGATTACAGGCCAGTCATCTTGTCGTCTGACTCTCAACTGACGTCTACGTGGCATGTTATCACAGACGAAGGTCGAGCATTTGGGCCAGTATGTCACTGAAGTGACGCAGCGCTCTTCTTGTCCTGTCCTACTGGGTGGCAGACGATACCGACCTGTCCTCTTCCTGACGGTGGTCACTTTGATCACTCGAGTAAGGTCTGCCATCTTCCCTACTCTGGTTACTTTTGCCCTTTTCCTAATTAGGGACTCTTTCATGAAGAGGTACTTTGAGACTAAGTAAAATTTATTCCTCTTCCCAGTTTGACTCATCGGCATAAGTGTCCATTGATATTTCTTATCTGAATTACTACTGTTACGGTTGCTAAAAGGTGATTCCTAATTCCATTTTTCTTTCTGAATTTATTAGTTGGTATTCTATAAAGTAAAGACTTTTCTCCATTTATTCATTCTTTTATGACTTTTAAAAATCTCTATGCAAACATACAGGCTCCTGTTTTATTCAGTAGGTTATCCATTACTGCCAATTATTCTTAGGACATTGGAAAAGTCATGATGTATTTTTCTGTTTTTCCATGCACAAAAGCATCATGACTTTCTTGACAGCTCAGTATTTATTTTGGTGTTAAAATTGTCTCCGACTTGGCCAACAGAGTGCCTGTCAGGCTAGCATCTGGGCCTTTTGGATGTCACCATTGTTCTTTGAATACGTCCTCGTTTCATTGCACACAATGTTCTATACCCGCCTTGAGTGTACTCCCTGCCCCAGCCGGACGCTGGCTGCTTCTCTGAGCAGGTCTGGTTCCTTTCGGTTGAGAATGAGCTATGTTTAGAAACCCAGGTCTAGGTGTGAGGTGTGTTCACTGCCAGCACCACTGCTGTTGCTGCTGCCAAACTTTTAGTAGATCGAGCTGGACAGTTTTATTTATTTAGGTATAAATGTATATATAAAATAGATATTCACATACCCATTTTCCAAACTCGTTTATTGCTTTCATGAGAGAGAGAGAGAGAGAGAGAGAGAGAGAGAGAGAGAGAAAGACGAGCACCTCAGCAGTGGTTCATGACCCAGCCCTCCCCTTAGCCTGCCCAGCAAGCCAGGATGCCTGGAGTGTGCATGCTGACCTGGGAACCAAACCCTGGTCTCCCACATGGCTTCAGCATTGCAGAGTGGAATGCCGTGGCCAATGCTGCACCCCCACCCTGGGCCCCATGTACACATTTACGTCTGTATCTATTTCTGTGCCTTTCTACCTACCTGTTGATTTCTGCATTTTCAGTGTAACAGAGGATTCGGTCTAGATGTCTCCGTTTTTCCTTTTTTTTTTTCTTTTTTTAAAAAGTTTTTGCCATAGGGTGCATGTGCTGGCCAGAGAGAGACAGTGAGAAGGAAAGTGAGAAATCACCCCTGGGGGGATAGCCACGCTTCAATCCCTTCTTGTCCTTTACCCTCCTGGTATTTTGGGCATGTGCACACACACCCACAGCATGATTTTCAAGCTGCCAGGTCTGGGGCCCAAACTGTGGTCAGCCATGTGGGAGTCGAGTACCTTAACCACTGTGCCACCTGCTGGTCTCTAGATTTCCCCTTTTGCTCTGTGTATCTCCCTTCTCCTAGAGCGAGAAGTCTGGCTCCCATTATCCTCAGAATTACTCCTCACATGTTCAGTGTTTCTTTGTGTTGCTATTCTCCCTGCTCTGTAGGTCTGTCACCGTGTTTGGGTCCTTCAGTTGGACAGGTCCTAGCCCACAGGGCTGCTGCCCACTCCAAGCCCCTCCCCATGTGGGTCCTATCTCGGAGCCTTCTTTACACAGGGCCTTCTGTCTCTGGGCTAGCTCTCTGCCTGCCCCAGCAACCTCCTGTGGGGCTGTTCAGTGCTGCTCTCGTTCCCATGCCCTCCTGTGTCAGCATAGGGCCGTCCTTCCGCTCTCTTCGGGTGCCTTCCTTGTAGTTGCTGGCAAATAAAAGATCACAAAGGAGGAAACACAGGCAGTACGGTTGCTTAACAGACTTCAAAAATGCTTTGTACAGTGTCCAACGTTGTAACATTAGACACGTGGCTATCTAAGTTAAATAGCAAATGTGTCCCTCGGTTGCACTTGTCACGTTTCACGTGCTAGCACCACGGCCTGTTGCAGCTTCTTTGCAGACGGTTCTGCTCTATCATACTGAAAGTCTGAGGCACTGAAGTTCAGACTCCACGGAAAAATGCCAGTTCAGTCGAGGGGAGGAGGGACAGAAGGAATCAAACTTGGTGAATGTAAGTGCAGTTTGTTCCGTGGATTTCTCAGTCATGGATTCAGCCTCAGAATTTCTTTTTCTTCACAGGTACTGTGCTAGATTACCAAGTGATCCGTTCACTCACCTAGCTCCTAAATGTAGAACTCGGGAGTTGCCTGACGGTACCTTTTACTCAACTCTTTATCTGCCAATTAACTCACCTCTTCGAGCCTCCATCGTTGTAAGTTTAGAAAAAGAAGTGATTGTGCCTTTTTAATCCTGTCATTAATGATTTTTTTTTCAGTTTCTCTAAGCCATAAGCTATAGATTAAATTCAGTGTTAAAATCTACTTTAAGAAGCAAATTTTTACATCTCTTTTGTAGTTCACTATGTGTTCAAATTTTTAATAGATTTCTAACTTAGAAACGGATTAACTCACCTCTGAGGTCTCCTCCTTGGTCTTACTGGTGCAAACAGCACGGGCAGACTCATTCTGTGGTGACCTAAATACGACCGTGATGCAAAATTCGTGAAATGTAGTCGAACTGCTCTAGCCGTTCGAGTAATGTTGGCTTAAAAAAACATACCTTTTGTAGCCGCTGTCCTCGCTTTCATTACTGATTTCCAGATTTTCCAGGATGACCAATTGTATTAGAGCACATAAAAAGCTTGGTCTTACTAATTAATCTATGTTATAGTTATAGCCTGATATATCTTTAGCTTGTTTTTCTTTTTGTTGTTGTTATGTATTTGTAAGTTAGTAAAAATGAGATACTTTAACATTTTATTGAAATTTAATCAGAATTGTGAAATTTTAGTTACGGCTTAGTTTTTTTTTTATTTATTTTTTATCGGATAGGGTGTTGAAAGATGGATATTTCAGATATGGAAAGAGGATTTTTAAGAGCCCAGTGGCATTTTGCACGATGCAGGACTTTGCTGAACTGAACTGGGAGTCGTTGAGGCAGGTCGTAGATGTGCTGGAGATGACATGAGTATGAGCATACACAATGGAAAGGTGTCTTGTTATTTTCAGGGTCCTCCAATGAGCTGTGTACGATTGGCTGAAAGAGTTGTAGCTCTCATTTGCTGTGAAAAACTGCACAAAATTGGTAAGGATATTTGAAAAGCCACATGCAAATAAGAATAAATTATTAACCTTGTAAAAACAAAAAGGCGTGTGAAGGACTGTGCGGTCTCTACATTCTGTAGAGCAGTGGCCTTGCCGCTCTGGGCGTGCTTTGCGCCTGTAAACCTGGCGTGCAGAACTCGGCCGTCCTGCAGCGCGTGGGACCGCTTCCTCTCCACCACTGTCCTGCACACTGGCCTTCGTTTGTCCCCTTTACTGATCCCTTTTATGTACCCAGTGGTGTCCTCATAACTGTGGAATCCCGTAGCACCAACATGTGCATTTTAATGTCAGTCTCTCAAAGTAGTCTACACCAGTGTGGAAATGAATCCTATGTTCTTTTCTAATGGGAAGGCTTGTTTTCCATGATTTCTTTATTTAGAAGTGACACGTGTTGTTGTCCTGTTTAGATGTTTTTATTTTTGAACCTTAGAATTTGTAATGCTGCTTACATTAAATATATGAATGCGAAAATAGTATTTTTGACATATGTCCTCTGATGACTTTCACATTATGAAAAAAAGCCAGGGTGCGTTCATTTCCTTTACTCTGCGGTAGCTGCCTGTGTAGTACTGCCCTAGATTTACTGCCTCCTCAGAGAGGTGGACTCTGGGTGTTTATGTCCGTTCTCTTAATATTTCTTAGGTGAACTGGATGACCATTTGATGCCAGTTGGGAAAGAGACTGTTAAATATGAAGAAGAGCTTGATTTACATGATGAAGAAGAGACCAGTGTTCCAGGAAGACCAGGTTCCACCAAACGAAGGCAGTGCTACCCCAAAGCAGTTAGTATTGATTAGAACCAAATACAAATCTAGCCTCTCTGAGTTTATTTCCTGCTACATCAAGCGTCAACTCCTCTGCTTGGTGGGCCTTTCAGGCCCTTGTAATTTGCCCCACGCTGTGGACCACGGTTCTGTTTTCCTGGCCTGTTTGGTTCTTTTCTTTTCTCTGTTCCTGTGCTCTCCCCTCCTCAGATGTTGCTTTCGATTTTCTTCTCAGGAGGATTCTTGGAGTCACCTATGAGGTTCTACCCAGAATCAGCCTGTTTTACTTAGACAGTCTTTGTTTCATTCGCTTTAGTGGTGTGACTTCTGCTTTACTTGTGAGGGGGATAAGACAAGGATTCCCTGGTACAGCAGACAGGTGAAAAGACACCCCCTGAAGATGACGAGCACCCTGCACGGTGGGAGCACAGCCACCTGTTGGGAGTTAGGGCCTGAGCCCTGAGCTGAAAGAAGTCACACTTAACGTATCTCTGAATCTGGCTTCTAGTTATACCCCTACTTGACTTAAATATTTCTTCTGTGATATTTGTTAATACTGTTACCTCATGAGAACCCTAAAGAAAAACAAAATTTTATTGTTTACTTTCATCCTTGCCTAAATTGTGGTTCTTTTTGTTTTTACAGTTTTACCAAGTTAACACCCATCTAATCATTCACAAGATTCAAAATCATGAATATATTTTTTAAAATTATGCCTGTTGCCCATTTTCCTGTAGTGCTTGCTTTCTGCATACCTGATATTTTCTTATTTGACTCCATTCATGTGATAAAAATCATTACTGACGAGTGTCCCGAGAAGCACAGCACTGTCTGACATTCAGTGCAGTTAATGGATAAGTTCTGTACGAGCTGATATTCTGTTACTCGTAACCATCTCCTTCCCAGCGTTTCCATATTGCTAACTACAGGTGCCATTACGACATTAAGCGCAGAATTTTAAGACCCAAATCGGAAGGGTTGTGCTAATTTTGAAAATTTAAGAGATAATCTGAGCTTAATTTAATTATAGTTACCCCACATAATGAGATAGTCATTAAAAATGATGATACTGATTCATATTAACTCTGAACAATACAATCAGTGTAGTAACGAGGTAAAAATCAGATTCTCTCTCTCTCTCTCTCTCACACACACACACACACCAATATTGTATGATTCCATTTGTTTTGAAAATATGTGTATGTTTATATACACACTTATACCTAGAAAGAAAGTGGGAAGATATACAGTATAGCAAAATGTTAATAAAAGTTCTCTTTAAATTGTAGGATTATATATGATTTTTAAAAATTGCCTATCTTTATTTTCTGATACTTTGCAGTGGGTGAATACTTAAAAAGCCCAAGGGAGGAAGAGATTTTTTTTGGTCAAAATAAATAGATCAAATGAATAGTATCTTTAAAAAAAGATCCAGCCATGTTTGGTTGTTTTATATAATGTTAGTTATTAATTGTGTGGTTATAATGTATTGATACAATGTCCTGTTGAACTTTGTGAACTTGATGAACTTGTGCCTCTGTGAGACCCAGACCTGAGAAATGCTGACTTCCCTAGCAGGGTTAAAAAATAAGGAAGTCTTGTGCCCCTGGTATTTGCTTAGCTTTTTCTCATCAGCTTTTAAGCCAAGAATAAGTTTATTTTCTTGCCAACATCTGGAAAAGAGGCTATTATATTATACTTGAGCATGATGCTAAATTTTTCTCTCCAACCCCAGATCCCAGAATGTTTAAGGGATAGTTATCCCAAACCCGATCAGCCCTGTTACCTGTATGTGATAGGAATGGTGTTAACTACTCCTTTACCTGATGAACTCAACTTCAGAAGGCGGAAGCTCTACCCACCAGAGGATACCACCAGATGCTTCGGAATACTGACAGCCAAACCCATACCTCAGGTAGACACTTCATATTGAGTATGTTAAACATATCTTTTATTTTTTAAAAGGAATGAAAAATGAAAACTTTGGTAGAAAGAGCCTGTGTCCCTCAGTGAGTCGAATATTTGAAGATCGAGGTGTCTCTTCTGTTCCTCTAATAGAACATATCATTCCTCCTGTGAAGCTGACCGTAATGCCATAAAACGCCTGTTAACTTTGTGGGGTGCTTTGTTTTTCTTTAAGATTCCGCATTTTCCTGTGTACACGCGCTCTGGAGAGGTGACTATATCCATTGAGTTGAAGAAGTCTGGTTTCACGTTGTCTCTACAAATGCTTGAGTTGATTACAAGACTTCATCAGTATATATTCTCACATATTCTTCGGCTTGAAAAGCCTGCACTAGAATTTAAACCCACAGACGCTGACTCAGCATACTGCGTTCTACCTCTTAATGTTGGTAAGAAGAGTCCAGACTGGGTGTTCACTTATAGTGGCTAAGAAACGAAAGTTGTGCTTGGCAGTTAGCTTACTGTGTATATGACCAAAAAAACTTGTATTCGATGGCTCTAAATTAGAGTCATCTAATGAAAATGTAGCTTAAGACTATTATCTGTATTCCTTCATTTATTTATTTTTTTACCAAATCGTAATGAGTCTTTTCCTTCCCTAAGTTAATGAATCCAGCACTTTGGACATAGACTTTAAGTTCATGGAAGATATTGAGAAATCTGAAGCTCGCATAGGCATTCCCAGTACAAAATATTCAAAAGAAACACCTTTTGTTTTTAAATTAGAAGATTACCAGGATGCAGTTATCATTCCAAGGTAGGTTTTCCCGTGAGAAGGAAACGGTGTTGTGGTGCTATGTCAAAAGCTGTGCCTGTCCCTGTGAGAGCACACCAGATGGACTGTGGCTTCAACATTTATCTTGCTGGTAGAAAATTGGGGGCCCGGGGTGAAGGGCACAGGATTCCCACGTGTGTGACTGTGGTTCAGGTCCCTGTCCTAGCGACTTGCTTTCTCACTTTTTCTGTCTCTCTCTCTCTGCCCTCTTGGGTCAAATTAAAATAAGTAAGTAAATAAATAATTCTTTAGGAAAAAATAATAAATTAAAAAAGAAAATTTAAATTTGTCTTTATGATAGGCCTGTTTGTTATGGTTTACTTGCTAAAGAAACAAAATCTAAAATTGCATGGGAAGGGGTTTTACTTTGTGACAGTCACATAACCTGAATATCGTTGATGGATTTTCTTCTTAAAATAGCCATCATTTTAATCCTTGAGTCTTATTATAGAATTTGATCATGGAATGTTTGCAAGAAATAATCTCATCGAGCTCACTGAAAATAATACCTCAGAATGCTACTTTCTCATTTTGTAAACATTTTAGAGGGGAGTTTTTGGGCAATATAGTGAAATATGGGCACTTTTAAGGGAATTAGATTACTGACTATAATTCTGTAATTCAGTCTTGGATTTTTTTTTTTTTTTTTTGGCCTGGCAAAGCCATATTTTAAATGTTAGCTGTTGTCATGACTTAGAGACGTGGGGGTATGGGGGTGATCAGCTCATGAAGAATTAGAGACACAGGGAACCAGCAGTTAGCGTAATGGCTATGTCGCTGGACTCCCACGTAGTCGACTGCGGTTCGGGTCCCAGACCCGGTGGCTTAAAACTCACGCCGGGCGCGTGTGCGTGCGTGCCCAAGATCCCGAGAGGAGAATGGAGGAGAAGGGATTGCGGCGTGACCATCCCCCCTGGGGGGTGATTTCTCGCTTTCTGTCTCTATGTCTCTGTCTGTCTGGCGAGCGCACGCGCCCTATAGTGAAAATCTCTCCAAAAAAAAAAAAGAATTAGAGACACAGACTTGGGCAGGCAAGAGGAGTCTATTAAGAGAGCGAAAGACCAACTGATCTCCCAAGCAGAGAGCAGAATGGGTTGCTGACGGGGACCTGAGGTGAGGGGCTTCTAAGTCTGGGTCAGAGGGGCTTTGTTCGGGCTTGTTCTCAGGAAGGACTTGTGCCTCATTCCTGTTGTGGGGGTCACACGCTAGATGAGTCTGGTTATTTTCCTTAGTTTTAGACTGGTACAAAGGTCAGGAGACACTCTTTACCTAAAAGCTTTAGGCCATAAAAGACCATTACTTTCTTCCTGGAATATGATGGGGCCGGAAAAAAAGCCTTTGTTTTAGGTCAATCATTAAGTCACTGCTGCAAGCTATTTCTTGTGTTGCTGGTGAGCGATTGTGTCTCCTTCATCTTAAAACAGAGAGCCATTTTGTGACTCCATTTTGGGCCTATACTCTAACTATAATTCTTAGGGTCCCTGTTTCCTACCGCACGTGGGTTTTTGTAAGGCTTTTACAAAGAAGTAATGGTTAATGGTCACGAGATTTCTCCCATGATTCAGCTCATGGTAAGGTGCCTGGTGACTCTCATTTGGCCCTTTGCCCTGTGTTTTGGGCCTATCTCAGTTTTCACTGGGCCCAGGTGGGTTTTCTGTCAGACTTAGATTCTGGAGTTAAGAAATTACCAGGCCCCGGACTTTGACTCTACTTGTTCTTCTGTGTGTCCTGTGGGGAGGTCTGTAAGGGTTTGGCCTGGAAGGGCAAGGGTTAGGGAAGAGGGAGTGTCAGTTTTCAAAGAGCAGGGCTCAGCTGGCTGGCTTTGAGTGACCCCCTTTTTGTCAGTAGTCTGTCCTGGCCCCTGGATGCCTACCTGCCTAGCCAGTCTGTCTTGTCAGACTGTTGCTGTTCGAGTTAATGCACTGATACTTTTCGTGACAGGTATCTTTCATGCTTAGCATTAGTCATGGAAAAGCTATTTTTTCTGTTATCGGGATATCGTTAAGTTTTCCATACTGTTTATACTGATGAAATATGTGTTTAAAGGTGTCTTTAAGTTTGCATATATTATCAAAGTATAGATATTTAAAACAAGAATAATAATAAAAAGGGAAAAAGGAGAGTTAATTTTTATTTGATCAAAGTATACGTATACTTTTATTGTCTCAAATACACTTGAAATAGATCCTTTGGAATTGTTTTCATTGGTGGTACTTATTTTTACCTTTTCATTTCTTAATGGTAATTTACATTTGACTGTTAAAAAAAAGTTGTGTGGGACCAGCAGTTAGCGTAATGGCTATGTCGCTGGACTCCCATGTAGTCGACCGCGGTTCACGTCCCAGACCCGGTGACTTAAAACTCACGCCGGGCATGTGTGTGTGCGTGCCCAAGATCCCGAGAGAAGAATGGAGGAGAAGAAATTGCAGTGTGGCCATCCCCCCTGGGGGGTGATTTCTTGCTTCCTGTCTCTCTCTCTCTATCTGTCTGGCGAGCACATGCACCCTATATCAAAAACCTCTCAAAAAAAAAAAAAGTTGTGCTGTGGCTTGCAGGTGGCATGGTGGTTAAGGTGCTAGGCTACCACATAGCCTATCATGGTTCAAATCCTGAACCTGGTAGCTTGCTTTCTCACTTTCCCTCTCTGTCTCTTCGGTCAAATTAAAAATAAATTAATAATAATAATAATAATAAAATAAAATGAATAAGTCTTTTAAAAAAATAAAGCTGTGCTCTGAGAATGGTTGATTTAAACCAAAAGAACAACTGGTTGTTTTTCTTTTTTAGATACCGCAATTTTGATCAGCCTCATCGATTTTATGTAGCCGACGTATACACCGACCTTACCCCCCTCAGTAAATTCCCTTCCCCTGAGTATGAAACTTTTGCAGAGTATTATAAAACAAAGTATAACCTCGACCTGACCAATCTCAACCAGCCACTGCTGGATGTGGACCATACCTCTTCAAGGTAAGGCGCTGGGAAATGTGAGGTGCCCTCCGGCATCCTGTGCAGGCTCCTGTCCTTCCTCTTGCCCGTGGGACTCCAAAGCCGGGAGGGCCTCTGCACTCTAGTGCCCTGGGGGCCCCAGACTTGCTGTGCCGGCCCACCGGAGCTAGAGAACCTTCGGGAGAGTGTATTTTTGTCTGTTTGATAAGTTTGTTTTGGAATTTTTGTAGACTGAATCTTTTGACACCTCGACATTTGAATCAGAAGGGGAAAGCTCTTCCTCTCAGCAGCGCCGAAAAGAGGAAAGCCAAGTGGGAGAGCCTGCAGAATAAGCAGGTAACCGTCAGCTCCTACCGGCATACCTTACTGTTCTAATGATAGCTTCGAATTTCATCAGGTTAGCTGAGTGATTTGTGAGTTGTTGTTGTTGTTGTTGTTTTTTTAAAGAATTATTTTATTTAACTTTATTCATTTTAATTTGATTAGAGAGGTACAGAGCGAGAGTGAGAGAGAAAGCAAGCCACCAGGTCCAGGACTCAAACCGCATTTGGCCAGGTGGGAGTTAGACTTCCTTAACTACCACGCCACCTGCCAGCCCCAGATTTGTGAGTGTTTTTGGAAGTTATGAAACCATTAGAATTTGTTTTGTTTTAATCAACATTATGTGTTGAATTTTATTTGGATGTCCTTTTTGGTAAATTTTGAGAGTTTTGCTTTTACAAATGGCCTATTAACATAATTATGTTACAGACTCATCCTCATAAATCCTAGGATAAATCCCATTTGGCAGTAGGATTTTTTTTTTAATTTATTTATTTGCTTATCTATTTATTTGTTGTGATTTTCAAGATGCCAGGTCCAGGACTTGAACTGCAGTCAGCCATGTGGGAATCCAGCATGCTAACCACCATGCTACCTGCTGGCCCACATAAAGGATTTTATTTTATTTTATTTACTTTTTAAATTTTTTGTCAAAGAACATGTGTGCTGGTCAGACAGAGAGAAATATGTTAAGTGATAAAGCACCCCCTCAGGGCACGGTTATGGCACAATCCCCCTCCATTGTACCTCCACTCAGGATTTGGGCTGTGCGCACCCATTGCCTGCATGTTTCGCCAGGTTTGGGACTTGAACTATAGTAGTCGGTTGTGTGGGATCTAGTTGCCTTAACTACCACGCCACAGGCTAAATGTTTTAAGTATTTTTTTAAATCACATATTACTAGTAATTATGATTTTCATCTTTAGCCATTAGTGAATTTTCCTTTTCTTATTTGTGTGTGTGTGCACTTTATACTTAACAGTCCACTTTCCTCCTTCCTCAAAGATACTGGTTCCAGAACTCTGTGCTATCCACCCAATCCCAGCCTCACTGTGGAGAAAAGCGGTTTGCCTCCCCAGCATCCTTTATCGCCTTCACTGCCTTCTGACTGCAGAGGAGCTGAGAGCCCAGACGGCCAGCGATGCTGGCGTGGGAGTCAGATCCCTTCCTGCAGATTTTAGGTACGTTGGTGCTATTGACCAGAAAGAGCATAGGTGGTGAAGTCTTAGTTGCAAACATTAAAATCATAAACATTCTTAAGAGAGTCGGAAGGAAACTTGGATGTCCGATGAAATAAACGCACTGTCTGACTGCTAAGTATTTCAGGTCGTTACGTGCTGTCTCTGTTCCTGTCAAGGTAGAGCAGTGCTATGCCCCTAAGGTCAGGAGTCATTCCTTCTTCAGAGTACTGCCAGAAGTGAAATGGGAACAGTTTTTGTTATGTGCCAGCATTTTAGGACTGCTTTCTTTCTTTTTTTTTTTTAAAGAGTTGTTTGTTTATTTGATTCCATTTGTTATTATTATTATTATTATTATTATTTTAATTTGATCAGAAAGAGACAGAGAGAGAAAGGGAAAGCGAAAAAGCAAGCCACTAGGTCTGGGACTTGAACTGCAGTCAGCCATGTGGGAATCCAGTGCCCTTAACTACCACGTCACCTGCTAGCCCCCAGGACTGCTTTCTTAAAACACACACACACACACACACACACACACACACACACGTACACACACGTATAGAGAGAGAGGGAGGGAGGGAGAAGCAATTGCCTCAGTATGTTCTTTGTCTTCATTATTCCCTTCCTATTAGTAAAGTCTCTGCATTCCAAAGAAATTGTGGGTTCAACCGCTCACATTAATTTTGGCAAGACCGAGATGGTTGTAGGGAGTGAAGACTTTCAAAACAGAAGGGCAGTAATCACAAGTGTACTTACTCAGTATTCATTGCAGTGCGCAGGTTCCTGGGACACTTGCTTCTCTTCCAAAAGGGGGGGTGTTCCCGGGGGTCTCGCTTTCCAAATTCAGATTGCTGTTGCTCTGAGCCTAGCCCTTTCACAGGATCTGATGGAAAGTTACAAAACTGTCTTTGCAGATACCCTAACTTAGACTTCGGGTGGAAAAAATCTATCGACAGCAAATCTTTCATCTCAATTTCTAACTCCTCTTCAGCTGAAAGCGATAATTACTGTAAGCACAGCACAATTGTAGTCCCTGAAAATGCTGCACATCAAGGTGCTACTCGAACCTCCTCCCTAGAAAATCACGACCAAATGTCTGTGAACTGCAGAGTGCCCGTCGGTGAGTCCCCCCGGAAGTCCCACATCGACGTCCCAGCAGATCGGACAGCTCTGAATGGTCTTTCGTACAGTAAAAGCCTTGCCAATGGCGGTTATGGTTTGGCTAACAGAGACTTTTGCCAAGGAAATCAGCTGAATTTCTGCAAGCAGGAAGTACCTGTACGACCAGCTACCTCGTTCCCCGTTCAGAATTCACACAGTTGCCAGAGCCAGCCCACGCCCAGCGATGAATGTACTCTACCGAGTAATAAATACCGCGATGGAAACGCGAACACATCTACCTCAGATGGCAGCACGCCGGCCGCAGGGCCTGGTGCCCCGGGCGTGGCGAGAGCACTCCAGGACAGGCTGGCTTCTGAGCAGAGCCCTCGTGTGGGGTACTCCCCCCGCACTCTCGGCCCCAATCCTGGGCTCATCCTGCAGGCTTTGACTCTGTCGAATGCTAGCGATGGGTTTAACCTGGAGCGGCTCGAAATGCTCGGCGACTCCTTCCTAAAGCACGCCATCACCACGTACCTGTTTTGCACTTACCCTGATGCTCACGAGGGCCGCCTTTCGTATATGAGAAGCAAAAAGGTAAGATAGGGCAAGATCGAAGCTTTGCCTCTGAGTAGGTTCTCAGACGTGCCCAAATGTGTGGGGAACCTTGGCTGTCCTCGGAGGGTGTGACCTTCCCCGGCAGGCTGAAGGCACTGGGGCAGCTGCCCTGCATTGACACAGATCTGCCCTACACCGAGCGCACACTCAGGTGTGGGGGTTGGTTGATCTGTGTGTGCCTTATTTATTGAGAAAAGGTTAAAATAAAGCTGCAAGATTGTGCACACTTACTAGACCCTGGGGGGTGATGCAAACCGATGTGTGTGTAGTCATTCAAGAAGCCCGACCTCATGCTGGGCTGAGTGAGACGCTTATCTGGGAAGTGCCGTCTTGGTTCCCAGGGCGTACCAACACGAGGAAGGCAGGCCTCTCAGAGGGGCTCGTCTTCAGTTTTGGAGAGTCGGCAAGGGGAAGCGTAACAGCACTGCACACAGCCCTGGGCTCCGCAGTGTGAGGAGAGAGCTGGGAGGGTTCTGGGGGAGCATGTTCTTAAACTCCTGTGGAATGCAGGCGGAAGGAGAGAAGTCAGGAAGGTAAGATATTTAAGCGATGATAAAGAGGCAACACAAAGGGAATGCCATACCAGGAAAACTGAAGTCAGACACAGAAATTAGAGTACAGAAAGCAGCCAAGAGAACAACCAGCCTAACGGTAGGGACAAGTCCCGAGCTGAGTGTTAACTTCCAGAGTTTAAATGGAAAGAGCAGACCACAGCAACACTGCAAATTCAACAGAAGAGCGATTAGTTACGTGAGTCTGAGCTAGTGAAATATAATTATTTTTACTTTAGACTAAAACAGTACTGATCTTCAATGCTTTGATTTCCTTATTTTTTGTCTTCTCTTGGACTGTTGATCAGTTCATGTACCTACTATTTGAACTGAGTCCTAACCTTTTCCATGGCTTTAAGTTTTAAGCAAATTTTTCTTAATGTTTTTTAATATGATCAGTTACAACTAAAACTTTTCTCCTTGAACTTTAAAAAAAATGCTTTTAAAAAAGAAAAGGCAACACAGAGCAGCCCTAACCTCAGGGACAGCATCCAGAGCTGCTGCGTCCCTCCGCACTCACTAGGGAGGGTATGGCTGTGGGTCGTGGGCTGCTAAGAAGAGGTCAGTTCACAGTGCGCAGATGGGACAGGTGGCATTGTGGGGACACGGGCATAAGCTGAGGTGGCGGTGGTCAGCACTGTGGAATTCCAGATGGAGACTGGCGAGGCAGGAGTGAGGGCTTAGAATTCCGGCCGAAGGATCCTGCATGTATTTTGAATGTCATAGGCATTGTCGAAGGCATTTTGAGCTAGGAACTTTAAATATGAATAATGTGGTTTAAGGTGATTCGTCTGGTAGCAGAATGTAGTATGGGTTGAAAAGCAAAACCCACATAAAACCAGAAGCAGAGAACGGGATAGAAGCAGATTCTGGTAGTGAGGAGGGCTGAGGTCAGTGGCGAGCCCAGAGGGAGTGGGAGTTCCAGCTCACGCCCGCCAGGAGCGTGCTCTGCCTGACACTCTTCTAGTCACCTTCCATACATCATCCCATTGCCTCTTCAGATTCGGAGAGGCGTGGTTTTTCATCATCTCCATCTCGTAAATGAGGACAGCGAGGTGAGAGGTCACATGGCGAGTAAGTGGCAGAGCTGGGACTGAGCCCAGACAGTGCGGCTCGGGGACCTTGCTGTTCACCATTGCCCAGCCGGCCCCAGCCTGCCCTGATGGCGCCCGGAGGCCAGGCCCTGGCTGAGCATTTTACAAGCATTGTCTCATTGATCTCGGCAAGTCCCGGGGGAGGCTCACACGTCCCCATTTTGCAGATGGGCGAACTCTTGCAGAGCCTGATTACCTTGTGTAAAGCCATCTGCTGATACAGTCTGTGATACCCAGTGTGTGTCTGATCCCAGAGCTGGAGGCCACGTCCCTACCCTCTGTCTCTTGCTGCCTCCTTAAGACAGGTGACACCAGCATCACCATGTGCACTGGGAGGTGGCAGTGGTGGTGAAGGTCGAGATGTGGGAGGAAGGCTCAGGGTGGGGTGAGACCCCACGGCAGTGAGGCAGAGGGGCCAGGCGGCTGGGGGCTCAGCACTCAGGTACGTGCAGTTTGGAGAGCATCTCAGGAGAGTGATAACTGAAACTCTGAGAAGGCATGAGATTTCCAAGGGAGAAGCAGGAGGAAGAGATCAGAAACTGAGTATGAAGTAGGAAATGTGTGCTCTACTAGCTAGGAAAGAGATTATTTTATATCCCCAAAATCCATCCATTTGCTCAGAAACCTTCAACAACTCCTTTCTGCAGAAGTCCTGCTCACTCCCTCAGCCTGGTGGCCAGGCCCTCTCAGCATGCTCACCCCCGCACGGGTCCTGCCCAGCCGAAGCCCTCGCTGCTGTCCTTCAGGCCGCATGCCCCCACCTGGCCTCTGCGCCCTGGCTGATGTCCTTCCCATCTTAGACCTCCATTGAAACTCTGTCGGAGAGGACTGGGCTCCCCTGTGTCTGCTCCGTGTGCTCTTGTCCCAAGTCCGTCCTTCGCTCCCACTCTCCTGCCAACCTTTCCTGCGGACTTTCAGTGTGATTTCGCGCCCTTCGAGTCCTTGGGCTTTGTCCTCTTAGTAACTGCGATGTTTGTTCTGCGTGTGGGAGGGAAGCTGGCATCTCGCCAGCCAGCCCCCAGGAGCGGGCAGAGTGCCTCTGCATGCAGCGTAGTTGTCCCTGCATGCAGCATGGTTGTCCCCTGCGGACTCACCTGCTGGCCCCTCCCAGCAGTCCTCTGGCTCCCTCAGCGCTGCCTGAGCCCGGGCCTTTCATGGTGAGTGCTTGTTAAATAGCAGTTGAGATACATGGAAAAAGGGCTCATGACAAACAAATAAGAAATCCAGTTTTTAGAAAATGAAAATAAGATGGTGGGCAGTTCAAGAGCAAGGTTTCCAAGTAAAAACCACTCAGAACCACAGTGACTCAAGCAGATCAGGGAGGAGGCAGAGGCAGTAGGAAACACAGACCAGGGGGCGGACCGTGACGCCATTTTATGTATGTGAATAAACCGTTATTGCTTAGTATTTCTCAGTCCATTTTAAAATGGGTGAACAAAAATATCTCGATATGCCCTGTAAAGTACTATCGTATCTGTGACACCATTCCAGTCGTAGGCGCGTCTGTGGCTCAGTACAGGGCCGTAAGGTGGTGGTAGCTCTTTCGTGCCGGTCGCACTTCACAGCTAGATGGCATCCCCTTTCCATTACTGACCATCAGGAGTGTCTCCACAGCTTGACTTTTCAGGTTCTTTTCTCTTCCACTCTGATAGTTCAATCACCAATTTGATTTTATGTCTGCAGGTCATGTTTTCAGAATTTTGAAATTGGCTGAACTGTTTCTTCTGACTCATTCACAAGGAATTTGCATATTCATATATGTTAGGTTGTGTTCTTCGTTCTAAATTCAAAAGTATTTAGCTAACTCACAGGACACAGAGCAACTGGGGATTCAGTGTTGTCGCCTGTCACGATGCAGGCAGAGCTGCCCAGCCCCACCGGGTGAGGGCCGCTGTGCTCCTGTGAAGAGCCTCAGCCCCCTTAGCGCAAGTGTCGGTCTGCCCTGCACACAGTCCAGCGGGCACCATTCATGGCCAAGTGTCTGATCAATGTTTTCCGCTCAAGGTCAGCAACTGTAACCTGTATCGCCTTGGAAAAAAGAAGGGCCTCCCCAGCCGCATGGTGGTGTCGATATTCGATCCGCCCGTGAATTGGCTTCCTCCTGGTTATGTAGTGAATCAAGACAAAAGTAACACAGATAAATGGGAAAAAGATGAAATGGTAAGTTTTTGGTAACTGGAGGCTTTGTTTGTTCTCTTCTTTGTAAGCCAAAAGAATATTACTCTGTTAAAGTTCAGTCTTCTTTCCCTGGTATGTTTGTAATAGATACTTGATATGTTGAGTGAGTGCCTTTAGACAGACTTTGCACTGAGTTCAGAAATAGCATAAGGAATAATTTCTATTTTTATCGTCATCCTTTTCCAAAGACAGAAGAGTATGTGATATTTTCACCTAAAAAAATTAAAAGGGAAAACTTCTTCATGTTTTACTTTACTGTTATTTGTTACAGTTTGTCATAAATCCTAAGCTCTGTTGAGTGAAGTGACTTCTCAGTGACCAGTGGTCTCTGGGCCGTGGAATTCTTCAGTAAAATCTTGCTTTTGCAACTCAGGGTTTTCTCAGTGAGGACTCTTTTCTCTTGTGAACTTAAAAAACATCATGGTACTTAAAGGTGATAGTTTTTTGGAAGTCATTTGAATCCTGGCTGTGACTTAAGAAGACTGGAAGCATTGGCAGCAGCTGCCCCGGTTTCTCTTGTCCTGAAGGCCACCAGAGGGCACCCCGAGGGCCTCTCGGAGCTGTGGAAGCCGTCAGTGTGGCTGTGGTTGGTGGGGAGGCACCAGTGTGTCCTCCCAGGTCAGAGGCCACATTGCAGGCAGTTCCCTCGAGTGGAGATAACCTCCCGCGTTAATGACAAGCCAGCTTGCTGCTGCGTTTATACTTAGGGATGGCAGTGGTGGTACTCTTTTCCCACAGGTCATTTTTTCTGTGTATACATTTTTTCCATGTCTTGTTTTCTGACATGTTGATCCTAGACCTCTCTCCTGAATTTTCAGGTGGTACTCTGTGACTCTATTTTGATTTTTACCTGTTTGTTATGTTTGTAACTCATGCAGTGTTTGATGTATTATGGAAATGGAACTTAACCTGGAAGAGCATTAAGGGAATACTTTAGTGCAAGTTAGGTCAGGAGACGTTAGGTTTGTTATTAATGCGGAAATACATAGAACCTTAGTAGAAAATATGTAGACTTTGAGCTTCATAAAAAATATTGCATCTTCATGAAAAATGTCCCAGTAACAGTTATCCTTCTTTGTAAATAGTGTTTCATAATATAGATGTATTTGGCTGTTAAAAAAAATTGTAGTGCAAGGGTAACATCACCACGTCATTTTGAAATTTGTTTCCCTCTAAAGTCAATGCAAAGTTCTTATTTAATGTATCTAATGACTTAGCGCTTTGGCTCTTAGAACACAGTAAAAATACTGCTCAGGTTTTCATTTAATAATTCCTATTTATTGCAGTAGCCCTTGCACGGTTGGAAAGAGCACAGCGTATTTGGGGCCGGGCCATTTCCCTTCTCCCTCTTGTTCCTGCAGCTTCTCAAGCAGGTTGTGAAACCTTGCATGGGAATGATAACCCCCCTGAAGAGGCGCTGTGAGACCTTGGGTACACAGGCCACTGGAACTTAGAAAAAAGAGTCATGCTGGTATTTTTTCTAAAAGACTTTAAGTGGAAGACATTTTGTGAGGTAGAATCCCACTATTTGCAGATAAAGAATCTGAAACCCAGAGGCATTAGAGGACTCTCTGCTTAGGGTCACACAGCTCATTTGTGATAAAAGCGAGTCTTTTGTGTGTTCTGTGTGTTGCAAATTTTAGCTTACAGTAGCACCTTACAATATATGAGGATTGTTGTTTTAAAAAAAAAAACGATTCAGTCTGGTTTTCTTTTATTACAATTTGGCCTTTTTTTAATCTTATGGACCAAATGGTAGTCAAAAGCACCTCGTGTGACCTTGGAAAAGTAGTGTTTGTGGTTTGTCACTGCAGTGTTGCTGTTCTTCTGTGTTCCTGAAGAAGTTTCTTAACATTATTATTTTGAAAAAAGAAAAAAAAGAAAGATAAGTATTTATAGATATTGGCTCCACTGGTTGCTGTTATTTCTTTTGTGACAAATACAGTGCTTCTATCTCTTTTGTGTCTGATTTAAAATGAAATACTTGCAGTATTGAAAAGAATGCTTGACAATTTGCAAAACTTTTTGTCAAGTACTCTGGGAAGTTGTTATGCTCAAAATCGAGCACACCCTCCTGCCTCTCCCTCTAAAGTTTTTTTTTTTTTAGATTTTTATTGCATAACAGAAATTTGACATCTTTCTTGCATTGCAGAAAAGTTACATCATTACTGAATCCTACCCATTATTAAAGTTGTCATTCACAAATAAGCTTTTGCCAAAGAAGTCGGAATTAGCAAAGATCTTTGGACAGAAATTGGGTTGTTATGTTTCATGTTAGTCTAAATTTTCTTCTATTTTTGTCAGTTATGCTATAATCTGTTATCCCGATTACTGTAATTCAGAGGAGAGGGGAAAAACATCATTTCTCAGGTTTATACTTCTGCTCAGTGATCATTTTTGCTTTTCAGGCAAAACAATTTACTTTTACGTTGTAGCAAATGTACTTTGATTCGAAGTGGAAATAGGGACAACATTTTAAAGCCCCAGTATACATTCATAGTGTTGCAAAAGTTTTCAAATCAATGTATCTGTTTTTGTAATACACTCTTACTTAATTGCAAAGATAATGCTTTGTCTGGGATTTCATTTCACTGATGTGAACTTCTTTCTTAAAGTGCAGTTACTACGTTTTGTAACTTTGTCCGCAAAATTGAAGATCTCTGTGATCAGCATGTGTGTTTTCATTGTGTGTCCCGCCAGAGTTAGAATTCTTAGTTGAAGTTTTGCGTTGCAGACATTAGTTTTAATTTTATATCTATGTTCAGAATCCTTAAATTAAAGCTTCATACTGGATAAAGATTGTTTTATAACTTAGGAAAATGAACATTCAAAGAACATGTTTTACTTTGTTTATATGATTAAATAACTTATTTTATGTTAATTGGAAACAAATGGCTGTGATTTTAAAGTTGCCTTTCAGTATTTGTGGTTGTCATTTGAAATTATCCATAACCCTTGCTTTTTATTGAGTTTCAAACTCTTTTAAAAACAGCAGCTATGTCTCCCCTCCTTCCCCATTCCCCCGTTTCAGACAAAGGACTGCGTGCTGGCTAATGGCAAACTAGACGAGGACTACGAGGAGGAGGAAGAGGAGGAGGACAGCCTGATGTGGAGGGCTCCGAAGGAGGAGGCCGATTACGAAGATGATTTCCTGGAGTACGATCAGGAGCACATCAAATTCATAGATAATATGCTAATGGGATCAGGAGCTTTTGTGAAGAAAATTTCACTTTCTCCTTTTTCAACCACTGATTCCGCATATGAATGGAAAATGCCCAAAAAGCCCTCCTTGGGTAGTATGCCCTTTGCATCCGAGTTTGATGATTTCGACTACAGCTCTTGGGATGCCATGTGCTATCTGGATCCTAGCAAAGCTGTTGAAGAGGACGACTTTGTGGTGGGGTTCTGGAATCCGTCAGAGGAAAGCTGCGGTGTTGACACCGGGAAGCAGTCCATTTCTTACGACCTGCACACAGAGCAGTGCATTGCGGACAAGAGCATCGCCGACTGCGTGGAAGCCCTGCTGGGCTGCTATTTAACCAGCTGCGGTGAGAGAGCTGCGCAGCTTTTCCTCTGCTCGCTGGGGCTGAAGGTGCTCCCAGTAATTAAAAGGACTGGCCCGGAGAAGGCCGTGTGCCCTGCTCAGGAGGATTCCAGCAGCCAACAAAAGGCCCTTTCAGTGAGCTGCGCTGCCGCTACTCCTGCAGCCAGCTCACGCCCTGCCCCGCTGAAAGACCTGGAATACGGTTGTCTGAAGATCCCACCGAGGTGTATGTTCGATCATCCAGACGCAGATAAAACACTGACTCACCTTATATCGGGTTTCGAAAACTTTGAAAAGAAAATCAACTACAGATTCAAGAATAAGGCTTACCTTCTCCAGGCCTTTACACACGCCTCCTACCACTACAATACTATCACTGGTAAGAAGCCCAGGACCAGCCTCTGACGGTGGCACTGTGTGGGGTGCAGTGTGGGGGCCTTGTGAGAGGTGGCCTGAGTGTGTACGTCCTAGTGCTTGCGGATGGGGAGGGAGGAGAAGAGAAGAGGAGGAAACTGCTGTTTTCCTCCTCTTCCTGGGAGCAGGTACTGCTGTGTGATGGGCCGGTGGGAGCATGGCTATCTTGTGTACTCTCAGATATGTCATTTTCTTTGCTGCACAATAGCATCGAGTATTTGAGCCTTAGCATTTTAGGGTTTTTCGTATTTCATCCTATCCCAAGACCTTTATGATGCTCATTTGATGCTGCTTTTGGTTCTTGGCTTATTTGCATACCCTGCTGTCTTTCTACATCCTTTAATTATTCTTCCTGGACAAAAAGGCCCCTCCCTCAGTGTCTTTTAACATCTAAAGCTGTGCAGGGAGATTCTGTGGCTCTTGCTCCAAATGCTGTCGACCTGCTTTACGCTGGGCTCTGTTTTTTCCCTTCCTGAATTTAACAGTTTTCTAATTTGTTAGATTAGAAGGGAGAGTAAGTCCCTAAAACCAGAGTCAGCTTCTGCTTGGGAAACACAGCCAAAATTTGCGTTTCATTTTCTGTGTCAGAATAAGTGCTTGAATCCAGAACACCGAAGCCAAGTGTAAAGTTTGTCGTTTGTGTAATGGAAACAATGGAAGTTAAGATGATCAGAAAAATGTAAAACTGAAAAGTAAAAACAACATGACTCTAGACTTCTAGGAAGACTGATGACAAGAATGAAAGCCCAATTTTTAAGAAGCGACAGGGGCTTTCTGCTATGCTCTTCTGGCAGCTGTGTGACCTGGGTGCTGGCGCATCTCAGGCTCTTCATTCACTAGGAATTCTGGGGGGCATCCTCCATCTGTTCCTGCCTCAGTGTTCTCGGCCGAATGGCTGCTCTAATCTCCGAGGAAAGGGGTGCTGGTTGGAAGTGACCACGCCTCACTCTCGGACTAACAACCGTGTTTTTGCCTTTGCTTTCTTCCAAATCTCTTCTTTGTCATTCTCTTGATTTGAGTCAAATTCGGCATTTCTGGTTCAAGCTGAGCAGGGGTGTCTT